CGGCAGCAGCTCTGTTCTTATTGGACTTTAGATTGTCTTCCACATTGATAAGTTATTCATTTGAATGCAGTTCGATTTATTTGGTATAGAAAATGGGTAGACACCCATTGTATATCGTTAAAAATCCAGCTGCCTTACCATATTTGCTAGCCACAAATATGAAATGCATGCTAGATTCAATTTATGCACAATATTTTACACTTTTGCATGCCTAACGAGACTCATTTAAAATACCATCAAGCAAATGCATTTTAAATATCAGCACAGAAATAAAAAACAATACAAAAAAACAAGAGAAATAGAAAGAGAAATGGGCAAAAATAGTTAAAAAGTGAAATTGTGTCACCTAATTTTACAACAGCTCTCAGCCACGCATCATCGCACACACACACGCACACACACACAGACACGCGCAAACAATTACGCATACGCCAGGTAAGCCGGCGTATTGTAGATAGATATAGAAAAATGTGCGCTAAGCGCCTAGAACAACCAAACCAACTGAGTTGCAATTTCTATGAATTTTTATTTTTTTAAGTTTTTGTTCACACCTAAAGCGAATTTTAGTCACTCTCTCCCTCTCTCTTTCTATCTGCTCTACCCGCCCTTTTCTATGCATAGCTTTCGTTTTATGTGCGCGCAGACAGCGAGACAATTGTATGCATACATATTTCATAATTCATAAGTTTTTGGGATCAAAAAATATGAATATTCAGCAAATGACAGTGCACAAAAGAAGGAATGAAATGCGAGAGGAGCAAAAAAATGTAGGCGAAATCGTGACTTGACGCTCACCTCGCCCGCCCACGTTCGAGCTCGTGGATATGCGAGTTTACAGACTACCCAGCTTTAATGTCACCCAATTCTCGCAGCTTTCTCTTTTTCGCCCTGGCCCAAATTCTCATATGTGCAGCTGTCGTCGTATCCATTCCAAACTATATATATGTATATATATAGTATAAAAAAAGAAGAAGAAAAACTTGTCCCTTATGTCATGTTATTTGATTTGATTCTTTAAAGTTTCGATTGCATAAATTTGGGTCAATGTATGTGATGTTTTATTGTGTTCAGTTGTTTCCCCTTGTTCTGTTATTGTTCCACAGTTGTTTTGGGCTCTGCTTCTTCTTGTACCCTTTTGTCTCCCGACGACAAACAAACGACAGGCAACAATGCAGAGACAAAAGCACAACACAGATCCGCATTTGGGGACCTGAAGGACATACGTGCTTTGTATGACTCAATAGTATGCCTCATACACACGCACACACACACACGCGCGCGCAAAATACCCAAAAACTTTTATTTTATGCAAAATAGTTATGTGTTTTTCGATGCTCTATCTACAATTGTTGTAGTTGTTCTTGTTGCTGTTGTAGTTGCACGTTTATACCTTTTTTTTTTTATTTGGTTTTTTGAGCGTTTGCCTCGTATTGATTTTTGCATTTTTAGGTCGCACAAAAGTTGTAGGAGTAAGCTGGCTTGGGGGTTTCGGGAAGAAGGAGGCTGTACAGTAGCTGGCAAAGCTCACAACACACTTACACAAACACACACACACATTTAATGAATCCGTTTGCTGGCCAGATTTATGGGCAAAGACTTAAAAGTGGCTTTAACACGCTGCGCCAAACAAAGTACAATTTTATTAGTGAGTTTTACTGCTTAGCGAATGGAAGTCGATCAAATACAAATTTACTAGCCGAAAACTTGCACATTTATAGCATTCGAATTTCTAACAAGGTTTCAAGTCCAGCATTGCATACAAATTGGAGCAAATCCTAGCAAAAGATCGCAGCTGTAGTCTAAGCATGAGAATATTCTTAAAAATATTTAAAAATTATTTGGATAAATTTTAGCAAAATGAATTTATTAATATTTTTAGAGGAAGTGGATCTTATTGATATGTTAAATATTGTACGCATAAGAGCATGCAAGTAAATATAATTATAAAACATCTTCCTTAAATTCTACCCAAAGCAAATTAACATATTCAGAGCCTTCATATGTAGCGAATCTTAACTTGGTACTCATTCAAGCTATCAGAATATAAGAATTTTATATAAATATAAAAAGCCTTTTTCACATTTGACATCAGACTTTGGCAAATAATATTTTACTGCTGAACATTCAGACTGCTTTCACGGAATATTCTTTTTAGCAGCCGGAAGCGGCAAATATTCCTTGGCTTCCAATGTTCAGTAAATTAGGTTTGTTTTCTGCGCGGAGGGCAAGGGGGCTGTCAGCTTATTATGCTGTCATTTAAAACCAATTCAATATTCGCAACGCATTTTGCTCGAAACATGGTCAACACCTCTGAACTTTCTGACTGTTTTGCATAAAATTGAAGCTGCAGCTGTAAGCCAAAAGCAGCAGGAGCTGCAGCTGCAGCAACAACTTATATATAGCCTTGCCACAAAAGTTCAGTGGGTCAGTTCAGGGGTTGCTGGCGGCAGTGGGGCTTTGTTGTGCACAGATTTCGAATTTTTGTTACTTTATTATAAAAGTGGGCTTATTTGACTGCTAGCCGGCTCGTTGACTTGTCCTGCCGCTGCCTGCTCTACTGCTGTACGGTGTCCTGCCATCCTTGCAGTTGCAGTTGCTGCATTTTAACCTTATTGTATGTAAGCTAAACTCAAGTTTATCCCCTGCTTTGTCAGTTTCTTGTTTTCTGCTTATTGATTGTTATCTCATCTCTTAGGTCCTCTTTTAGGTCCTGCTGGTCCTGTTGCAAGTTCTGCAGCAGGCAAGCACAAATAAAAATCATTGTTGAGCTCTTTGACTTTTGGCTTCTGCTGCTTGTTGATGCCCTGTAGCGATACATATGCAAATTGGGATTCCATTTTCGTATCAACTCGATGTGTTATGGCTTAAAGAGTGTGCTTTCTGTTGTACTTATTAGATATGATATCATCACAAGGTTTTTTATTTATTTTTTTAACAATTTTTTCATTCTAGAAGCAAGATTTCCCTATTTCATTTTGAATTAACTTTCTTAATATTATGCCCAATATTTCAGCAGGGCATTCACTAGTCGTTAAGTTTTCTTATTGCAATCGTTTTTTTCTTAATAGCATTTTGTTGCTATCAGGATTTGCATTTAGACCCAGCCGCATGACATTTATCCAATTCTGTTCTACTCTCTCTGTCACTCTCCCTCTCTCTTTATCCATCTGTCTCTCTCTCTCTCTCTCTCTCTCTCTCTCTCTCTGTCTATCTGACAATTTAATCGAATTTGATTATTCTTGTGGGCATTATGTGATTTTGAAACATTTAAACAAGCAACATTTTTGCATCAACTGCCTTCTATTTGTACGTGTTATCCTTTTAGCAGGTTTTTTTCCTGCCCTTTTTTATTTTGTGGTTATTTTGCTGCTTGCTGCCACATTAAATTTGATTTTAATTCAGTTTTTGTGTTTTAATATTTCAAACAAATTTCATTTCAGTGGCATTTGCAATTTTCGTCCCCAGCCAAATGTTCGTTCTTGTTTTTTGCCAAATTGAAATTTGATCAAATTTAAAATGCAATGCAATAAACATGAACTTGTTGTGAATTTGCAATGTCCTTTTTGCGGTTTGCCCCCAAAAATCTTTAATTCAATTCGCCACAAAGTGGTAATAGATGAAGACGAAAAGGATAAATTGAAATTTTAATGCTACGATTATGGTTATTAATCTTGTAAAATAAAATATTTCCTTACTAACATTTGAGCCTGAGCGTATGGAATAAAATCTAATTTTAACGTTAGTTGAAAGTAACAAATTTAATTGTATGAGTAATCATGAGGGTTCTTTAAAAGCGCCTTAAAGTTTTCTAATTTTAAGAAAAATTGTTCAACATAATTTTCACTTTTGTTTTAATTCTTATTTTGGCGAATAAAGGCAGTTGTGCACTTGATTTAACAGCTCGATCGAATTTAGTGTTGTTTAATTTGGTAACATTTTTCTTTTTACCAGCTTACAACACTAATTTCTAATGTGTTCCATTAATTTCTTGATTTCAAGTTAAATCAATCCTATGTTAGCATTTTTAGCCCCTTTTATTGCGACAATTATCTAAATAGAAAACTTCAGCTGCATTTATTTAACGGTAAATTATCACATTTTTAGTATATTATTACGTTTATTTTTATATAAATATATGCATTCATATATTTTTATATATTTTTAAACGAATTTGTGTTAAGTAAGCAAAGTAAACGGAGACAAGCTTTACACAATCAGGAACCATCGTGGGTAAATTTCAGCAACTGTAACTGACTGTGAAAACCACAACACACACAGACGCACACACACAAAGACACACAGGCGTAAGCATAAACACACACGCACCACACACAAACACATACTTACAATATGCGATCATTTCAGGCGGGTGACTTAATGTGGCTTGCACTCCACTGAGTCTTTCCCTCTCTCTCTTTCTCTCTCACTCCCTCTCTCTCTCTCTCTCTCTCTCTCTCTCTCTCTTTCTCACTCCGAATTGCTCTCTGCCACGCTGCTCTGTGATTTTTATCATGCAACCACAAAAGCGGCTCAAAAAGTCAACATATGATGCGACGTTTGCGAAAAAAGCAACTCATTAAGGGAAATAAATAAGTAGGAAATAAAATGGGCAAATGCACAAGGCGAATACTAAATACACTCACATAAAATATATTCATATATGATTTACATACGATTTTCTAAATATATTTTGGCAAAGAAGATTAGAGCTACATTTTTTTTTAATCTGTATGCATTTTTGTTACTAGTAAATGTCCATGATAAGACCTAACTATGATGGCAGCATCAATTTTATAATGAGTATAGGGTAGCATTCTCTTGTTTATATTGTAAATAAAATAATATAAATTATTATCAAATATGTAAACATATTTACTAGCTTATAGCTGCTTTTCAGATTCATTTTTTCCCACATGAAATATGCTAATAGCTTACAACTCTTGATAACCTTTAACACTCGACGGCATACTCAAAGATTGTTGCTTATTGAGTAAAGCTAGTTTTTTTGCGTAATAAAACTTAATATTTATTCATAACTGTTACGAAGTCAGTAAATGACTCTTCCGGGCTTACAAGACCCGCATAGGCAACATTATTGAATGCTGTAATTAGTTCATGTTCGCTTTGTTGCGCAGATTTGCTGAGCTCTCTTATTTTTGGATTCATTGCATAAGAGAATAACTGAACTTGCCTGTGCAGCCTTTGTTCATTCATGTTAAATATGTCACCATATTTGTCCTTTAGGTATAAATAAATGCGTTCTCTTCTCTGGTCTCCATTTGAATTATTCCCATCTAGGATTCTCTCCCATTCATCTAAAATTTCATCCAGATCTGATTCCTTTAAACGATTCGCTGCAAGTTTTGCCTCCGCTCGAAGTTTTTGGGCGCGTAATTGTCGTATCATCGACTGATCCACAACCTGCGAATCTGCGATGTATTCATTTACCTGTATTAGGAACTTGAGATGGCCTTGCAGCAATTGTTGGTTCGCCTGCTCGGTAGCCTGCTTTAATTCAGCTATAAGTTGCACATCTTTTGCAGTCAACGCACTAGCAAGGCTCTGAAAAATTTAAATTCGTTTTATATATGTTGGGAGTATTTTCAACAATTTACATACCAAACAAGCCAAGGTAATTGCAAACAGCAGCCCGTAGCGCATCTTTCAATGATTTTGAATAAACTAAAGCGAAAACATTGTCGTCTGTAATTTTTTATTGATTTTAAAAGCACAGCATTAATGCATTCTAATCAAGATGCATTATAAATACTTGAATAAATATTTTATTATCAGTAGCTGTGTAAAACCCGTATTCCCAGTTTAAATTGGAACTGAGGGTATATATAGTTAGTATATACTATAACTATCTCTATATATAAAACTGTTTGTCCTGACTGACTGACTGACTGACTGACTGACTGACTGACTGATTGGTGATCAACGCACAGCCCAAACCGTAAGAGCTAGGAAGCTGAAATTTTCACTGTAGCTACCTTATGTGATGTAGGTGCACGTTAAGACGGGGTTTCGGGAAATTCCACCCGCAAGTGTGGAAAAATCGCGAAAAACGTTTGTATGTAACTTTTTTGTTTACCATCCGATCGGCCTCAAACTTATTTTCAAAGGTCTTTGTTCAAATTCATTTGAGGGGTGTTTCGCACTTTTCGGAAAATCCGTTCCTCCTTGGTGGAAATGGAGGTCAAAGATTTGGTGGGTGACGTTTCGCGCTCAAATTCATTTCCAGAGATCTATAAGAAAAATCATTTGAGACGTGTTTCACACTTTTCGCAGAATTCAAACTTCTTCGGGGGGAATGCGATTTTTTGGGCGAAGTTTTAAGTTGTGTCCGATATGCTTCAAACTTATTTTCAAAGCTCTCCATAAGAACTTAATAAACACGTATTTCAGCGATTTGAGAAATTCCACCCGCAACAGTGGTAAATTGGCGGAAAACGGTTGTATGAAAGTTTTTTGTTTACCATCCGATCGGCCCCAAACTCATTTTCAAAGATTCATTTGAGGGGTGCTTCACACTTTTTGAAAAATCCATCCCTCCTTGGTGCAAATGGGGGTCGAAGATTTGGTGGATGACGTTTTGTGTTCAAATTTATTTCCAAAGATCTATAAGAAAAATCATTTGAAACGTGTTTCACATTTTTCGAAAAAACCTAACCTCCTTCGGTGGAAAATGCATTTCTAAGTTTTTTTTGGTGAATTTTAAGTTTGTTTGATTCCCGTCCGATCAGTTTCAAAGCTTTTAGAAAACATTGATTTTATAACATACGTACCACGGGCAAGGCCGGGTTATACCCGCTAGTATAATATATAGTTAAAATACATTTTTGAAAAATATTACTTAATTTTTATTTCAACTCAAATATTTTTGTTTGTAGATAAGCATATGTAATTAAAGGGTACGTAGGCGCACTGCTCTTTATTTAATTATTTGCATTAATCAGGGAAATCAGTTAGAACTGTGACGTATTCATATATTAACATGGGGAATTCCAATTAAACTAACTAATAAATGAGTGCTGATAAGGCATGTACTTATTCTAAAAGGTTTCATTCATTCATTAACAAAATAATTTATTTTTGAAAAGTGCATTTTCATATGTTTTTAATAAAATAAATATATATAGCAATATTTTTTTAAAATTGGGAATAACTTAAGGAACTATGTAAATAACAATGAAATTTGCAGCATAAATAAGTGCAAAATGCAACATTTAACTCCTATGCAACACTGATTTCTGCAAGCTTACGATTAATTTTTCGTTTGATCGTGCATTTTCAACTCCTGTCATTGAATAGGTTGCCGAATTGAATTGAAATTTTCTTTGCTGCTGCATCCCACTTGAAGACAAATCCATTAAAAACCGCACACACCACACACACACAGACACAAATATACATTTACACGCACAGGGATACATGCATAGTTAAGAATGATTTCAATGTATATTTAATGACTGTACAACGCTGCGTTTTCCCAGCGGTCTTCATAAATATTTTCACCACTAATGAGCCCGACGATTAATCGCAAAGTGTCACACACACACACACATTTACAAAAAGAATGAAAGAAAGAGGGGCAGAGCGAGAGAAAGAGAGAGAGAGAGAGAGCTTAAGAGTGAGAAACTCTTTCATGTGGGCTCCTGGTGACGTGTATTTGTCAACGAAATATTTTTACATGAAATAAACGAATTCCATGTGGGAGCGTACAATATGAGGGAGGGGGAAATAACTATTAGGGGTAGGGGGCTGTCACTGGCTTGCGTCATGGTAAATTATATATGTATGCTAATTGGGGGGCACAAGACGCTCCGGCAATTACACAAGCGAAGCAACAACAGCAGCGGTCATACTTAAATAGCAATTAAAATGCTTCAATGTAAATTTAAGGTGCATGGTACAGTGAAAACTCGTAAGTGCGCTGTAACAAAATTTGTGCATGTGACAAATGCATTAGAAATAAAAGTTGTCAGTGTTGCAAAGTTGCGTAAAACTATTGTCGCAGCAGCACAAATTCCATTAAAGTTTTGCATTTTAAATTGCATCAACAATGGGCGTGGCGCAGGCGTGCTGTGGGTTCAGGGTGGGTTGGGGGGGGGGGGGGGGGTGTTGGCAAGCGCAAGGGGCGTGTCTCTATGGAGAATTCCAGGCGATAACAGAGTGCAGCGAATGTAAATTGAAAGAGACGTGTGAGCAGATGAACTGCGAGAGTATGTGTGAGTGTATGTGTGAGTGTATTTGTGAGAGTGTGTGTTTTGCTAGTGAGTGGATTGAGGTTAGTTAAGCTTGAGGTTAACACCAGAACGAGGCAGCTAACCAAGCTTTTACATCTTTAATGATTACAGTGTTGAAAACTATAAGAGAAACGAATCGGTTTAGTTTGTTCTGACTTTCAATTTGGTGAAAATAATTAAGTCAACTTTTTAAAAAGAAAATTATTTACAACTGAAAGATGTTGGAAATTAATCAATTATTCAGTTAAACTGTTTTTATTTGAGGTAGTCCCAGCATGAAAATATTATATTAGATATTTATATTAGTAAAATTTTCTTAAGACTTCGCTCATCACTATGATTGAGCTTGTTAGTTTTTTTACGCACTTTGACAATTATAGGTTTAATTCATGCGGAGAGGTAATGCGGAAAGTACATCTCGAGTCGCCTTGCGCTTATGTGCGTTGAGAGTTGATTTTGGGCAGCAAACGTAGCCAAGTAGAAACCGAAACCGAAGCCATAGCCAAAGCCAGAGTCAGAGTCAGAGCCAGAGCAAAGGAGCCAACGAGCAAGCGGGGCAAAGGCTGGCCAGAAATGGTTTGGGTTTGGCATGGAGCCAATCAAGGCATTCAAAGAGAGCATATTTAAATAGCTTTTAACATGCACGAGCTGTCGAGCTGCCGAGCTTACGAGCTGTAGAGCTCTAGAGCTGTGGAGCTGTCGGTGCTGCTGTAGTTAAGTGAAGGCCAACCAAAGGCGACACAAAAATGCAACCAAAACGAGAATCCAACTCAGGTTCCAGCTAACACTTTTCAAAGTGCCTGGGCAAGGAGCGACGCGTGGCGCGGGCCGTGGAAGAAGAAAGAACGGGTTGCAGGCAGCTTAAAGTCGTTTAGTAATGCAGTCAACGTGATGCATCTTTGCCTTTGATGCATTGGCATTTTTCAGCCAACCCCAGAGAGACAGAGAAGCAGATAACTAGAGAGAGTTGGGAGTGGGGAGTGGGAAGTGGCAAAAGACAGCAACAAGCCCCAAAATGGCAGACTAATGGCTGACTCCCTGCTCATCACCTGGCTAAAACACAAGCAGAGTCAAATTTAAAGGCAAAGTTCATTTTAGACTTTTGGCAATACGAACACACAAATGCTATTGGCCAATGAGCTTTTATCAACCTTTAGTGCCATTTCATGATTCCTAATTTTCGAACAATTTTCGACAACTAGAAACGTGTTTAGGGCCAGAACTAAGAGCCTAAAACCGGCTGTAGTTAAAATCCTTTCAGCATTTGGTTGTAGTTCGAAGGAGTAGAAATATTTTGACAGCTTCCACACTTTGCTTACCGTACTGTACTGCATTTGCGAACAGCTGGCAGGGCTATAAAAAAGACCTCAAACAAGTTGACAGCTTCTTAGACGTATTCAAATTGAAATCATTTTTAAAATATAGTAAGAAATTGTAGGATTTTAAGGGGGCAGTTTCCGTTTGCTCAGCTAAAAAGCAAAGTACACAGAATTTGATTTTATTGTGTGTGGGTTTGTGTTTAAATAGTTAAATTAATAAGAATGAGAAAAATCTCTAGGTGTGTATCTAAACACTTTTTCCAGCTAGATTTAACAACAAGCTTAAAGAGTTTTAGTTTAGGTCTCGTTTCGACTTACAAACCCTCAAAGAAACGATCCAGCAGCTCGTCATTAACCTGACCAAAATTCCAGCGTTGTCGCACATTATTCTCATCGCAGCGGTTGGTGAGAACCTTTGTCACACCATTGTCCACAAATGCCTCCATGCAGTTTTTGCCGCGAAGGCCATGGACGAGCCAATGATGTTGGCGATCATAGTACCAAAACTGGTTGCCACCCTGATGATGGCAATCCCACATCCAGACGGTAGCGTTCGGATGCGAATCCTGTACATCCAGGCAAGCATCATCCAAGCGTCGCAGCTCGCGATGCGAGCTTAAGGCCCAGTTCTGATTGTCCTGGGGATAGGTGAGATTTTCGGCACAGTTGTAAAGGCCAACGGGATGATTGGCGCCCACGTTCAAACAGTCCAGACAATAATCTGCATAGGCCTGGCTCTGTATGGCGCCCGATGCATAGGCGGGCGGATCAATGGGCGGAAACTTGATGAGGAAATCGGGCGCCACCTCCTTCATGAACCAGTCAAAGGACTTGCACTTCAATCGCTCTCGCACTGCACGCTGACGCGTTAAATCGCCAGCATCGATGTTGTCATAGGTTGCAGGATCCCGCCTATAGACATGTTCCTTGTACTCATCCATCCAGACCTCGGCGACGCGCTTGTGATTCTAGAAAATTCAGTTGATCAGCGAATTTGGCATAACAGGCGATTTGCCAGGCGCTTTGCACCCAATTTACCCTGGCCACAAAGTTGTAATTGCGTGGGTTTGGCCGCGGGTCCATTTGACCGCGAAATATGTGCGCCACACGGGAGCAGGGCACATCCAGCAGCATGCCACCGCACATCCAGATCTTAAAGCTCAGCTCGTACTGCTCGCCACCCCAAATGTCCAGCTCATCATCGTAACCGCCCAGATCCCAGAAGAACTCGCTGTTAATGGCAAACAGGCCGCCCATCATTACCGGACTGCGATATGGCAGAGATTTGTCCACACTATCCTCGGCCAGCACGGGCAGCTGTTTGTAGAAAAAGCGCCAGTCGAAGCCGCCACGCGTGCCCTCCTGATAGCCACCATTATAGGCGAAATTGTTGTGATCAATGATGTCCACAATGGGACACGTCGATATCTTATTGTTGATGACAATGGGCTCTAAAAGTGGCGGCAGCTATAATTGGAAATAAATGACAGTCGCTTCAAGTATCACCTAATCAATAGATTAATATAGCTGGGATAAAAGCAAGCTCTACAAACAATGGAAACTGCCGATAGAAATTGTCTAAAGATTTCATTAGCATATATAACGGAGCTTGAAGCTTCGGCGAAGCTAAATATCTTTTTCATTTAAATGTCAGATGCTTTGAAAGCATTCCATATGAGCTACAATTAATTTGCGAGATTGCGGGCTATGACCTAGGCACACCTAATGCTTAAAAGGTCAGCTAGCGTAAGCTTCTTGACTTACCCAATTGTAATTGACTTCAATGTGCGAGTCAAAGAAGACCATGACCTCACCGGTGGCAACCCTAGCTCCAGCTAGACGTGCACCAATCAGGCCACGTCGCTCTGGATTGTGCACCACGTCGACTAAATGTGGCCACTGTAGGGCGACGTATTGATCCAACTGATCCTTCAGCGTCTCCCATTCGCTGCCATCGTCGACGAGCACAATTTGGTGCAGCAGCTCCTTAGGAGTGCGGTTGACGATGCTATAAACGGTGCGCAGAAGCGTCTGAAAGTGTTCATTGTAGAAGATGATGACGACGCTGACATTCGGCAGCTTGGCCAGATATTTGCGCGTCTTGCAACTGTCGGGGAATCGGGCACATATTTAGAGAATCAATTCAATAGCTGCTGCTCCATTCTACTTACTGTTCGTGCCGTACATCTGGCAGTGAGCGATTCACAGAGATGCGATCGGAGAGATAACCATTAAAGCCATTCCTTCGATACTCTTTCTCTTCCAGCGTTTTCTCTGCAGGATCTTCAATCGCAGCGGGTAGTCCATGTTCTCCGAGACCGGAGCGCAACTTGTCCGCTGCCATTGCCTCGTAATCGTGCCAGTCCCTGCGCTCACCCACGGGCGTTGGCAACGTAAACATTTTCACCGTCTCAGTCTTAAGCTGCTCCACTTGCTGATCCGGCAAGGCATCACGCACAGCACTGCGATCCTGAAAGGGCGGTCGAGCCGGGCGACGTGTCGGCGCAACATTGGCCGCACGGAACTCTGGCGTTAGGGGATCTCCATTCATATCCAAATTACTTTCGTCCGGTTCGTCCGCTGACTTGGCTTTGTTCAGACGCTTCTCCACAATCAACGTGGTCAGCAGCGAGATGAAGCCGATTATAATAAGTAGAAAGATGAACTTACGCACCAGGCGTTTCACATAGCGCTTCTTCATGGCCATGGCCAGCACGTTTTGAGCCAGAGAGTCTTTGTTACAGAATGGTTTCAGGCCCGTGCGGCCAACACGTTGGGGCGGCTGCAATGCGTGGCATGGATGTCCATTAATCTAATTGCCTTTTTCTGCTGCCTGATAAGATGTCGGTAACTTAATTTCGCTTATTACGAACATCGTTCTCCAATATCAATCAGAGCTATCAGCTCTCGCGACCAACTAAAACCAACTGCCAACTACTCCCAACTTCCACTCACCTGTTTCGAGTTAAATATTACCGCTTTCACGCTATCGCCATCTGGCGTCGCAAATGCAAAGTTTTAGTCGTATTTTCACGCTATGATAACGCTATCGTTCCAAACAACTACACTGAAAAAAAAAAAGTTAAAAAATAAATCAAAAATAAATTTAGAAATAAAATGATAAAATGGAATGAAATATATATTTTATATTAGTAATATCAGTTTAATTAGTATATTAATTATTTTCGTTAAAGTAAAATGGCTTACAAAAATATGAAGAATATTTGTTTATGAATTAAATATTCTACATATATATTATGTTTTAATATTATTTTAAAAAGTACGATTGGAATTTATTTATGTGTGTAATAGTTCAACTGAAGCCAATTTCTTCTGTAGAGCTCTTGTACGAAGTTTCATATGCAACAACATTTTATTTTTTTTGCATTTCGTAGGCCTTATATGATCTATGTTTATATCTCATATGGCAGATGTTGCACACAGTTTGCACTCGATTCTTTTATTTTAGCTCAAAGCCAGCTGTGTCTACTGTGCTGTACCAACAATTCTAAGCAAACACACACACACACACAGATACTCACACACACACAAATATACACCCATGCTAGGCATTTAAGCGTATATTTATTGTACAACGCGGCGTATTCGCAATAAATTTTCACAAAATTTCGACGCATTGTGGCAATAAAATGACATTTTTTCATATTTACACATAAAGTCAATGCCAAAAACCTTGCCGTGAAGTACCAGCCAGGGGGGCTGGTGGCGGCGGATGAGGAGTTACATTTTTTATGGCCTTTGCTTTCATATGATGTGAAATATTTTCAACGCAGACATTTTTATTTGTACACGAAGATATATTTAGATGTGTGTATGCATATGTGCCAAACGGTGTGTGTCTATATTCTTTATTTGAAAGCTGAATCATGATAACAGAGCAACAACAATATAGCAAAAAGCTAAGCCAACCCTGGGCTGCCGACTGTCCAATACCCTAACTTGTCATAAGAGCAGATATAGTATTCAATAGTTATGTGTTCTACATTATTGTGTAATATATTAAAACCCAGTAGTTAATCAAAATGATATCTTTGGTATTAAGAATGATTATTAGTAACTGTATATATATTTGGACTGTATATATGATTCTTTACTTTAAAAGCTTGGCCCTATAAGATGTGACACTTTGCAAAACACAAATACCCTATACAAGGGTAAAGAATATAACAACAATAACTGTGTCAGCTTGCCGCATTTGACAGCTGTGGCTGCTTGTTGTTGGGTTTCAGTTCAGCTTCTGCTTTTGGCTGGTTCAACTGCCAAAATGTTGTCGCGGCTAAAAGCGCAGCAAGCAATAAAAACCAAATATTGAAAATTTTATAAACATTTTGTCTGAAAATGGCAAATGTGCAGTTTATATATATGTATATACGACATACAGAATTTGTACACAGAGCTTTACATAGATATATTACAGTGTTTACTAACCATATAAAGTTTTAAATTTTATAGAAAGCTTAAACATTGTATCAACATAAAATTATTTAAAATTACATAGCTGGGAGTGTGACCAGATGTTAATTGCTGTACAGTGGTCACTCACGCAGTTGAAAGTTGCGCATGCAATATACCCAATTTTTAAGAATGTTAAAATATTTTTTTTTTTTTTTTAGAATTAATTTATTCTAATTTTTGAGGGTTCTCTTTTCCAACAAAAATGATCAGAAATTGTAGATAATTGAAATGTGTTCAGTGCATTTACTTTATAGAAATATAGGGTATTTATTTGATCTATTTTCAGTCTATTCATTTTATCTTCATTGTCTTTTCTTATCAACAACACCCATTAACATCGTTCAGCTGTTTGTCGTGTCTTTTGTTATCTCTACTTTTATTTCTATCGATGAGGTATGTAAAAGTAATGAATAGATACGTAATTATTGGAAGTTCTTTTATTATTATCAAAAAATTGATTGATTTTATATTTATTTATGTTATTATTATATATATACATTTATTTTAAACTTCACAAATAACAAATTAGGGAAAGATATTTAGGTACAAATGTGAATAAAAAATGTTAACAGAAAAAGAAAATTACAAATATGCCCAAAGAATTTACATAAACGTAACAAAAAACATTTCTTAATTTATTCAAATTTATATAATTTTATTTATTTCAAATAATTATGTTTTTCATGTTCAAAATTAATTAAGTGCCGAGCCTACTAAAATATTTGGAACAACGCACATTTTGATAATGCTTAACTATTTGGCTTGCTAGCAAACAGATTTTGTGCAAAGACTAAAAAAAAATATAATGCCATGTGCTCTGTCACAAAGGGATAGAGGGATTGGGTGGGCGTGGCTTCAAAAGTATTTCACAGGCATTTGCACATGCATAATAAATAAATAAAGCGGGTTCTAAGCGGAGCTGCATAAAAATTTACGCGTTTGTAATTACGTAGAAATTAAGCCGGCATCAACATTTAATTGCTAAAAGCCCAGATACAAACAGCTAGCCGTGTCCTGGCTGCACAATGCTCTGCTCCCATATATATATGTATATTTATATATATATATATATATATGTATATGTGCATAAGTGTGTGTGCGAGAGCAGCCACGCATGCTGAAAAAGAAACGAACATTTAATTAACAAATTTTACGCATTTATTTTCTATTTTCATGTGGCTCGACGATGCTGACCAACCACAAAAAAAAAAAAACCGTGACAACATAATTTGCCTGACCCCCAAAAATAAAATGGCGGCGACTTTGTGCCACCAACATGAACAACAACAATAATAACAACAACAACTAATGCCAACCACATCCGCAAACCACAATCGGCACACAGTGAAAACGAAGGACATTGATGCCGTCGAGGGTAAATCAGTGTCGCTGCCCTGCCCCATTGCCGAGCCCCTGCATGATGTTTATATGGTCTTATGGTTTCGTGATAATGCGGGCATACCTCTATACAGGTGAGTACTATCGCCGCCTCTCGCTCACTGACTCTCCCTCTCCCTTTCTCTTTGTGTGTGCGTTGCGACTGCCTCATTTGGCCCATTGTCTGTCTGTCTGTCTGTCTGTCTGTCTGTCTGTCTGTCTGCCTTTGTGTTTGTCTTTATAAGCATTTAATTAAATGCAAACGAGCCTCGAGAGCAGCTGCCTTTTAAATCGTGCGGCCCAGCTTTGCACTTAAGTATGCTACAATATTTTTTTTGACATACCCTTGGCGAAGTTTGCACAAATAGGTATTTTAGCTATTCACATACAATTCAAGACAAAACACCAAAATAAAATACAGTATAGCTACCTATCTGTTTAGCTGATAAAACTTGAGCTCTTAATATGTGCACATTGCCTAGGGTATAGCCAAGTCGAATACAAGCATTTGCTATAATTAAACTTGAGCTGTTTATTTTCTGCACCTGCCTGGCAGCTGATAAGTGGCCTTTGGTCTGAATATGTGATTTAACTTTTGTCTGTGTGTATCTGTGTGTGTGGGTTTTTGTTGTCGCAGGCGCACAGTAAATTAACTTAATTATATTTACCTAATTTCGTAATTAACCTCAGACATAAAGCCACAAGAATTATGTGGATAAATGATGTTGAATTTCTTTTATATGGATTTTGGCATTAAGCTGTTGCTAAGCTTGCGGCCAGGCCAAATTATTGCTGTTTCTGTAGTTCTTGTTGTTGTTGTTGTTTTTGTTTCCTGGCTAATAGCAATCGGGCAGGTCATAAACAACTCTTTGGAAAGTGCCTGTAAAGTGCTCCCTGCTGGCCCCAGGCTTCATCTGGAGGGGGCGACCAGGCAGCAGCTCATACTAATTGCATTCACGACATTTTAACGCCACGTTGCGCCATTTGGCTGTCAAATGCAATATTCAAATGCAATATACTATGACACCTGAAAGACTATGTGACACTTTTACTTGGCGACGCACAGTGGCGCAGATAAGTAAAGTAGCAAGTGTGTCAGGTAAAAATATTAGGTGAAAGCATTGTCTATAAATTTCCTAAAATTGTTTAAAATTGATATTAATTATTATTAGATAGATATGTATAAAAAATCAGAGCAATATGAAAGTGGGAGTAAAATATCTCACAGTCAATAGGAATGGGATATACGGATAATGGTTGCGTACATATCTTAAATATTACTAAACAATTAAATGAGAACAAATGTAGAAGCAAACTTTTAAGAGCAAAGATACAGTCGCTCAACTGACCCATATAAAGTGTTTGTGAATTCTATATCAAAGTTATGTTAACATGAAGTCTAAAGAAAATTTATGTAATGAATCGGCCCTCGAGTCTTGCATTGTAAATGATGTGACAATAATATGACAACAGAGGCTATACAATTTAATTTTCTTAAAAGCCAGTCTGCTTCAGTTGTTGACAGACTGTGTTAACAGTTCAGATAAATATGCGCCAATATATGTAGCACATAACTGGCCATAACATACTTATTTAGCTAGACATACATAACAAATATCTTTAATTTTAGCCAACATTTCACTGTATCTACCCACAGTCGCGCTCTTTTTTTTATTCGGCTTTTGGCCATTTTCATAACACTCAATTTGCCGGGGTCCACGTAGCATATTATTTGGTCATAAACATTTGCTGCATAGGCCCCGAAGAGCAGTTATTAAGCGCAGGCGTACGCCTCTGCACCCCCCCTGAACTCCCTTAGAGTATTTCACTTTCTCTAGCCGCAGGCTCTGCAGCCAACTGCAACAGTTTTTCTTTTACCCTTTATTTTTTTTATTATTTTACTTTTTTAGTTTTTAATTAAAATGGCAGCGATATGAGCAAAAAGAAAAAAAATAGAAGAAAGCAAGAAAACGCAACAAAATTGGGTTAACGTTGCTCTCGCTTTCACACTAAATCGTTCTCTTTCTTTCACGCTCTCTGTCGCTCTCTGTCGCTCGTTTGCTCGAGTTGCCGCCCGCTTGGCACGCAGCAATTAAGTTGTTGCATTTTGCGATGTCGCGGTCGACTTCGACGTCGACGTCGGCAGCGTTCGTCGTTGGTTACCCGCATAAATTATTGCGTGTTGCATACAAAAGGGCGCTTAACGCCCCACTTGCCGCAGCGGCTCTCGAAAAGTGGCTGCTACAATAACAGCAGCAACAACAACAATCGAAAAAACCCCTCGACCCTTGACTCCCCCTCTCCACTGAGTACACATTGTTAAAGCTAGCTTTGCCCTAGAGTTCTGCTAACAACTGTTGTCATAAATTTAGAAACAATCAAAGAGCTCTAATAGGATTAAAATACAATAAAAAGATATTGTATATTCGCAGAAAGAGAATATGATAATGGAATATTTGTTCAGTTAGTTACAATACTTCTTTTGAAAAACATGAAGAATTTATGAACAAATAGCGAGAAGAACGAGCAAGAGTTACTCTAGTCGGCAGTGCCCGACCAAGATTATTCCCTTAATCTCGCGCTTACCTGTTGTGACATGAATTTACACAAAAACGTGAACATATTTTTGAGGGAGAACTGTGGAAAATATCCAAAAATGGATATATATTAGATCTGTCTATTCTATAGAGGAGTCTACCAACCAAATTTGCGTTTTTTTTGCTCATAAGAGCTCTGAAACATGCTCAGAAAAAAAGTATTTCCATATAGATTCTTACCGATTTGATGGAAATGGGTAGGACTATCGATTATTTATAATAACCTTGTACTGAGCGGGCACTAGGAGAACCTACATTCTCTGGTTCTATACTTTCTGATTTCAAAGCGTTTACATAGACGGACGAACATGGCTAGATCGACCAGGTTATTGATGCTGATCAAGAATCAGCTTAATGATGTCGGAGATGCTTTCTTCTGCCTGTTACACACATTTACACACAACCAATATAACCTTCTTAGTCACTTTCAATGGGTTCAGTGTATAAAAGCAAATAATTAAAAGTTTCATTCGTTTCAACTTATAATGCTGATAGAAAGAGTATTAAATGTTATATTAGATGTTTTTATAGAAATAACTGAAAGACTAACTAGCTATGAGAAAAATAAAATAAAAGAGTGTTAAAATAGTCGGATAACTAAATATTCACAGAGCTAAAATATAAATGGTCTAATATTCATTAAAAAATCATTTAAATGGGAGCGAAATAAAGTAAAGAGCTAATCATTTGAGCATATAAGAGTCTGAGGAATGGGCAGTCAAGTGCTTGGACTAAAAAAGTTGAATTGCATTCGAATGCAAACAGAGTTCTCGACATTTCTATAGATTTTAATCAGGATTATATGAATATGTTGTTGAGCTGCCGGTTTGTGTTTTCCCTAATAATTATACCTTTATACCTTTGCTAATTATGCGTACTAGCATAGTTAAGTATTAAAATAATTAGTCAAAGAATCAATTCAGTTAAATTTTACAAAAGCAAACAGAATTTAAAGCTGTAATCGGTTGCGGGAAACGCGTTTATCACTTGCAAATTATACTTTCGTAATATTTATTGCTTAATAAAGTTCAATAGAAAAACAAAGCTCAATGCAAGCCATGTTTATGGCCATTTTAATGATGACTGCGCACCGCAGCAGTAGTCAGCATTTGGCCAGGTCTTAAGTGTTATGGCCTGCTGTGTGTGCTGCCAGGTAAAACTTGGCGCATTAAATGCAACGCCGGCGAGAACTGCACAAGCACAAGAAGCAGAAAATTGAAAAAATGTTTATCTGCGGGCCCATAAATTCAATTTTGGCAGCCAGCCCGACGCCCCTTCTAATGAGCAGGCCAAAATAAATGAGGCTAAGTTTAGCGCGCGCAATTTTCAAATAAGACAAAAAAGGAAGAAGCGGAATATAAAAGCCGAGCTGAAGTCCGAGCTGAATTATATGGCCTATGGGGTTTCATTAGGCTTCCCAGTTTTCGCATGTGAATATTTTGCTGCGAACTTAAGAATTTATATCAACTTGATTTAATTTCGCCCCACTGAAATATTTACGTTCCAGCACAATAATAATAATTCTCTTTCTCTCTCTCGCTCTCTTCCTCTCTCCCTCTTTCTCTCTTTGCAGCTTCGATGTGCGCGATAATATGGCCGTTGAGCAGCCCCGACATTGGTCAGCTCCGGAGGTTTTTGGCTCACGTGCCAAATTCCATTTTGACTCGCAGCCAGCAACCTTGGAAATTAAGGTAAGATTCCAAATGATTGCCCAACAGCTTACAGCGGCCCATTTGTTTTGCCGTGTGTGCAAATACGGGCTCGACTTTAATCAATTCTTTAAATATTCTATTTAATTGGTGTGAACTTGAATGAATGTGAAAAACACGACCTATCGCATTGCATTTATTGTAGCAGACTTTTGGGGATGCTTTTAGCTATTTGAAGGGCCTTCCACTTGCTGGGGCCAGACATCAAATGGGTAAAAACTAGCAGCGCGCATTTGAAAAAAAATAATGCCAAGCGTTGAAATAAATTCTAAAAAATTGAGCACACAATTGAATTTTGTGCGCTCAGCAAAAATAGCTATAAAAAAAATACTAAATAAGAGTTTGTAGAATTATAGACTAGAGTATACTCTATAAACAATTCAAGGGTGTTAAATAATATGCTATTCTCCATATCGTCTGCTCAAGTGCTCGAGAACTGAGCTCATTGTCATCTTTGGGGATCATCAATGTTTAAGCTGACAGCTTCTAGGTTAATTTAAATATAATTAATAACGAATTATTTATAAACAAATGGAAAACCAATCTTTTGGGAACATGAAGTTCCAGTTATGGTTCTTAGATACATTTAAACAACTAAAAAAATTTAAGCTACATAGATATAACGACAAGTCAGTGCGTAAATTGGTGAATAATAAATTTAAATGATATGAAATTTCCCTTTTGGAAATACTCTCAAAATTACCCTTAAATTTTCCATATTATTTGAAAGTGCTTTCAAATTGATAACCGAAAAAGAAATTGCAATTGGAATTGCGAATGCGTGTTAAAAATTAAGCCAGCGCGAATAACAGTAAACGGATGTACCGAACATATTGCAAACAAAAAAAAAAAACAAGAAGGAAAAGGCCATGAAAATGGAGTAAAAACGGAATGCTAAATAACAGTAGAAAGCTGTGACTGCGACGGCGACGGCGACTGCGACTCCGACTGCGGCTGAGGCAATGCGAAAACAAATTTAGATATCAAAAGTTGTTAAATTGCCTCGCGCACGCGAAATGTTTATTAATGTCTTGCATGTTTACAGATAACTTGATTTACCGTTATTGTCATGCAATGCACACTCACACACACACAGACACTCACACACACGCACACCCACACACAATATGGCAGCTACTTGAGCCAACGCCTCGGCATGTCTTTGCGCCACAAGCGGTTGACTTTTAAAGGCCAACTTGAGTTGGCTTCGGGTTCCAGAGTGTTGAAATCCTTGGACAATTCCTAGTCTTAGACAGCCTGGTGGGGGCGGAGGGTTCTGTCTGCACGTTAACGAGCTGCATGTGCAGACACACACACGCTCACACACATATTCGGAAATGAATGTGAATTGCACACGAAGAGGCAGCCTGATCCCGCCCATAAATTTGCCACTCGCGGTTGCATCAACTTCATATTGCAAGCGAGGCACACAACACGATGTTACAAAAACATTTATATATATAACTCGAATATGAATAATGTGCGACAAATGGTTGGGATCTGGGCGAGGAGCTGACTTTATAAATTAATTTTAATTGCGTTTCAATTGCCTGACAATTAGCTCGACGCCAGACCGACTGCAAATTGCATACAAGTAGTTAGAGAAAACAGCTACGGATGCTTAAGGGGTAGATGGTAGTATAAATAGGTGAATTTAATTATGATTATATAGAAAAATTTAAATGGAATAAGTTTTTATTTTTAATTATTTGATATTTTAATATAATATTATGGGCATTTGTAAATTTTAATGATATATCTAGTTCTAAGATATTCAGAAAGATAGATAAAGGTAATTAAAATATCTTTACATCCCATTGAAAAAGTCGAATCGGCTTTAATATGTATGTTCATTCAACTTATTTGGGAATATAAAAACTTGTTAATTTCCTAACAGGTTCACATTAGTGATCTAATAAGCTAGCTAGTTCAAGGAACTAGTTCCTTGAAGCATCAAAAGGCTTTATAAAAACTTAAGACTGACAGTTGAGAATGTGAAAAAAGTGGCAATAGTACAAAAATCTTAACTGCATTTAGGAACTAGTTAATTTTTGAAAAATTTACCTCAAATACTGCTTAAATTAAAGAAACAACCCATACTTAAATGTAAAAAAACGTGTCTCAGCTAGCAGTGTTTAATATGCATAAAGTGACAACGGACTGGAACTTGCATTGCATCTCTTCACAGAACTTGTTCATTTATTACAACATTTACAACATTTAAATTGCTGACAGAAGTCGCAGAGCAAGATAATGATAAATTAAAATTTTAATGAAAGAACCAATCAGAGTAATATATATATCACATTCATTGACTAACTAATCATAGCCACAATTAACTGAACCGAATGTGCACTAGCTTCAATACCTGGGAGTGCATAATTGCCTGGCTGGAGGTTCGATATATATCTTAAGTCCTGCACGACTTGGCCACAGCACAGACCACAGAGTTGTAGGACTTAAGTGACATGCAATAATTGAAAATTACATGACCAGAAGCAACTGTTTTGTGGGTGTATGCAGTGTGTGTGTGTGTGTGTGTGTGTGTGTATGCGTGTGTATGCTAATCATCTGTTTCCTTTCGCACACATATAATAATATAACGTATGGAATTTTGCAGGATATCAAACGGCATGATCAAGGCATTTACCGTTGTCGTGTCGATTTTCGCACAGCTCAAACGCAGAGCTTCCGTTTCAATTTGTCTGTAATAAGTGAGTATCTGAAATTCTGACAGGCACACGGGCACACAGGCACCTACACATACACATACACTTAACTATCAATTGTTGTCGTTGTTGCTGTTGTTCTTTTTAGTACTTCCGGAGCAGCCCATCATACTGGACCGCTGGGGTCGTCAACTGAATGGCACAAAATTGGGTCCCAAGCAGGAGGGCGATGATATTGTTATCACTTGTCGTGTGGTGGGCGGTAAGTAAGCCCAACTATCTGGCTTAGCCCCATTGCTAGTGGCCACGCCCCCTTTTTGCTTTTGCTATGCCGCACACACATGGCTATATCCGCTCGACCGGCTAGACAATTTCCTGTTAATTTCCTTAAAAGCTTTGGCCAGCAAAAAAAAAAAACAGAGAGAGTAAAAGAAAAACCTCAAGCCGCACTTTGACCGAAAATGAAAATATCACAAAGTTTGCTTTCGGTTTTCTTTGCGCTATGTTTTTTTTTTAGTCCAAAACTTGACTTTTTAATTTGCGCCGTTTCTAGCTGCCGCTTCGCATAGTCCCCATATGTTGATGTGTATATAACTATTGTATTTTGTTTTCTTTGTTCTCATTCGACTCTATTTCATAGGTCGACCACAACCACAGGTCCGCTGGCTTGTGAATGGACTACTTGTCGACAATCAAAACGAGCACAATTCCGGCGATGTTATCGAGAATCGACTGTTGTGGCCATCGGTGCAGCGCAACGATTTAAATTCCGTATTCACATGTCAGGCATTGAATACGCAATTAGATAAGCCCAAGGAGAAGAGCTTCATACTCGATATGCACCGTAAGTGCCCAACCCAATTCCAACTTGTCTGGCTAATAAATTTGTCCAAAACAACCACACATGACCTGAAAAAACACAGAAAAAGAAGCCTAGTTCGCTTAGGTTTGATTCTAGACCAGACTTATGCTATCGTCAAGGTTAAGTTATGTGTTGTGGGACTTCCTAACCCTAGGCTTAGCAGGCGGGCTTATATAACCCATAGAGGGACCATACCAAGATATTGAAATAAATTAATATATCAATTTTAGAGTAAGGGTTTTCTCTAGGAACCAAAGCCTGAGCTTAGATCTAAATTTCTTAATTTTTAATAATAACTAATTATGGGCCAAACTCTACTCAAAACATTCCATAGTTCCCGCTGTCACCTTGTAAACCTTAATCATTTTATAACCCGCAATCTCAATTACCTAAATTAATATTCAATCAATGAAAATATTATCTTTCAATATCGGAACTCCGTAGTTATTTTCAGCACGTTAACTAAACAACTCGCCTGTTGTATAAACATAAACAAATCATACTCAATATTTTTCATGATTGTAACGCTACATAAATAAACCTGTCATTCTTGGGGTTAAATACCGCGCATATAGCTCGTCAAAGTGGCCGTTAAATAATTACATGTTTACAAGAATGAACGAATGACGGGACGTTAAGCCTAACATTAACCTCGCTCCATATCGCCAGCTCTTTACAGCAAAGAGCACAACAAATTGTTGCCTTAGCCATAGAGGGTCATTTATATATAGGGACCTATGGGGGCCTATGGGACCCTATGGAGTCAGATGTAGGCAGCGCCGTTAGTTGTTAACGTTTGTTAGTTACAAATTGTTGAAGGTTCTACTTCATAATTATTTTTTAAAGTTAAAACGCGAAAGAATGTGGGAATATACAGAGCTGAAATATATTTTTTATCAACTGTAATAAACTAACATTACTTCTCTGTTATGCAATCTTTTTTGTTTATCCAACTTCCATTATTCAAATTGCCAATGTTATTTACCAATTTTTTCTGCTTCTTTTCACAGTAAAACCATTAACTGTAAAAATTCTGGAACCACCCAGCTCAATGATTGCCGATCGCCGCTATGAAGTCACGTGTGAATCATCGGGTTCGCGTCCGAATGCCATCATCACTTGGTACAAGGGAAAACGTCAATTGCGACGCACAAAGGTGAGTTGAGTATGCGAGGGGGTGAGGTGGCAGTAGTTGTCAAAGGGTAGGGGTAGGGGTGATTCGCACATGACCGCAATTGACGTACCCTGCCCAACACTTGTGGTCTGCCTACCTACGGTTGGGTTTCTGGGGGTGTTGACTGACTCACGTTCAGCTCGATAAGTTATTGTATTTGCACAGTCAAGCCACACACACACACAAGCACTTACACACAGGCACACACACACACACCGCAGCTCGTAACTCTTCCACAACGAGTAGGAAAAGGGACTTGTGGGTGGGTAACACCCACTTGTTGTCGCTGGGCGTGGCTCACACTCGCCGCGCTCCGCACTCACCGTTTGAATAAACACAGATAATGTGATATAAACTCCACAATACACAATGTATTGCCCCGCCCCCGACCTGCGACCCCCGGCTGCGCAACCCTTTGCATTTTCTACTATTTGCTACGCTTTTCCTTTGCCATTTTCATTTGTTGTTGTTGTTGTTGTTGTGGTGTTTTTTTGTGCCTTTTTTGTTTTAACTTTGGACAAATTTATGGGAGTTTTAGCGCAATTTTGTTGCAATTCATTTTTGTGCCGCTCCGTTGTTGACTTGCCCAGCCCCCGCCTCCGCCCCGCCCCCGCTAGCGCTGCCAGTGCCCCGTTTACCCACTGTCCGGAACCCAAAACAGTTGTTGTTTATGTCCATGTCCGTCCGTCTTATATGCATACTCGCTTATGCATACCGCCGCTGATTGCTTTGCCGTTTGCAGCTACACTCCTTTAAAGACCGGAAATGTTTTTCAGTAGTTTTTCACGTGGCATAAAGTTGCCGTAATGCGGCAAACGGCCGCCCTCAGTCTCGTTTAGCCAGACAGTCGAACAGACAGTCGAAGAGACTGTCAGACAGACTGGCCTTTAGACATGTTATACATGCCTTTTGGTGCCTTAGTTTCCACTCTAATATGCGGACCTTGTGGGTGGGCTGTATGTGTATGGGTGTGTGTGTGTGTGTGTGTGTGTGTGTGCTGCCAGACATGTGCATATTTCGGGTACAAGCCAAAGTCTAGCAACTTTATATGGGACACGACATTAATCAACGTTTAAGGCCAACGACTCGCCGACAATCGAGTTGCTCGCTACGAATTGCAGCTAATTAGGTAGTCATGGCTTTAGCTTTAACATGCCATTTGTAATGCTCGAAATTGTTGTTAGAATATTTTTGAGGACAGTCTAACAAATTAATTCCAAACTAGGTTAAACTATTTTTAATTGTCGAAGAAAAAAATAATATAAGGAAAGCAGTACCTGGTCATAAAAGTCCTAGAGTTGAATATGCAGTTTGTATAGTTCTCTTATAAAAAACTGATTATAGAATGAAAGAATTTTAACTCTATTCGGAAAACCACGTTTTTTTCATTCTAAGTTTATTTTTTTCGTTATTTAATTTTTAATAATTATCTTCGATTTTTTATATATTTTTTGAATACTGAAATTCTTGGAAGAGCCAAAGAAATTTCATGCTAAATAACTTTTTTGCCAACTGTTACTGAATACAGGTTTTCCTCACAATTCCATTCCATTCGGAAAGTCAAGTTTTTTCTTTTAAATATTTATAGCTTGTTTTTTTCATTTTGCCTTGGACTCTGACAGTGAAAATAACGTTTTTACGATGTGAAAGCAGGTCGCTAACTGTCCGCCTTTTAGCGCCTTCGATAGGGCTTAAACACTTACACCCACTTCCCGGAGCAGTTATATGTGAGGGCATATTTCACGCCTTTGCAGCCGTTTAGCAAGTTTTGGCGTCTGGTCGCCTGGGGAAGGGGCGACACACGGTTAAAAATGAACAATTTTATGACCCGTTCAGCTAACAGCAAGAATAACGACTACAACATCGCAACTAATTATGTGTTGTAGTTGTTGTAGTTGCAGACGATATTGTTGTTGTTGTTGTTGTTGTTGCTGCTCGGCGCTATAAAATGTACCCACACAAGTCACATAAAACCCAAAGTATGCAGCAATAAATTTTAAATTGCAAACATAAAATATTTCGACAAATTTCCAAAAGAAAAACACATACACACAAAGAAAACAAAGAATAAAACGAAGAACTGCGCCTAAGGACATTTTCGTTGTAAAATGGTGGGCGGGGGTCGTCTACTCTCTGGTCTGAGCCGAAACTTAATTAATGCAGCAACACATTTTCCAGGACGACATATCAAAGAACTCGACACGCTCGGAGCTGAGCTTTGTGCCCACCACAGACGACGATGGCAAATCGATAACATGCCGTGCGGAAAATCCAAATGTGAACGGCCTCTATTTGGAGACCATGTGGAAATTGAATGTCGTTTGTAAGTATTACAAATTGTGCTTAAGTCTAAAATATATATATATATATGTATATATGCTGTATACGCTGAAAATAACAAAAAATAAGCATTTGCCGACAGCTAGCAGAAAGGTAGACAGCCAGCTAAATTTATTACGTCGGCGCTGTCGACGTCGTCGCCGTTGAAAGCCTTTAAAATGCAAATAAATCAAAGACAAATGACAAATTGTGAATAATTTGCCATGGGCCAGAAGGCAGCTGCCGTGCTAACAGCCCGCTCTCCCAGCCCATAACCCAATCGGACCGCGGGGAGCGCTTCAGCGGCTCCAGCGCCCAAATGAAATATGTGGGCTAACAAAATGTATGGCAGCCGCTCAAAAATAAATGAAGGACTTTTGCGTACCCATGCACCATCCCCCCTACCCAAAAAAAAAAACTAAATTACAAGAAAAAAACTTATCAGAGTAGATGCTTTCACTATAGATACAGCTGTTATCCGCGTCTAAACAAATTCAGTTAATTGCATAACTTTATATTATGATAAAGGAAGAAATAGATCAAAGCAGTAAACTATTTTATATATTTATTTTAGGGCTTATTCTATACGGTTCGCTTAGGTTAGGTCTGTTTGGAGTTCGATTGTGGCTAGCATTCTTATGCTTTAATGGGATTTAATTTTTGGCTTGGTTGACTTTTTAAGAGAATCAAATAGGTAAAACAATAATATTGCAAAGGTATAATGTTGCAAAAGGTTAATATGGAAGAAGGCATAGAAAAGAATAGAAAATCAGCATGTGTGTTAGCTAAATATTCTTTATTTAAGCTTTTTTTAAAAAGTTTTTTTTTACTACATATATATGCCAAGGTTTTTAGTTTGATCGTAAACTATGCATATTTAAAAAAATATATATACATTTTTTAGTAAATATATGATATATTTCTTTTTTACACCCATCTGCAGATATGAAAATGAAATTATTTATTTAAAATAAAATTAAATTAAATTAAAAATATTTTAAAAATATTTTATATCTTATAAATAATACCTGACCTATGCCTTCCGATTAAGATAAAAATCATAGCACCTGTATATAAAGTAATACCAAAAAAGCTATAAAAGGGCTTAAATAAAGCATATCAAGCTAACAAACATGTTAGCCGAATTGTACAGCCAATGGGTCAATAGCCGCAAAGTAACTACTGCGGACATCGTAAAGTGGCAAAGTCACAGTTGAGTTTGCAGGCGAACGGCGTTACGTATACGTCGCGTTTGCCGCTGTGAATGTATTTTATTATTTCGGCTGTGTGTACATTGTGCAGACACACACACACACACACACACACAAACACACTCACATGTGTGTGTATATGCGGCACATCACGTAATGTTGTTTCTTTGCTTTTCACATCCTCAAATATTAAATTTTTACTGCAATCTGCTGACGCAAAAAAAAAGTAAGCAAAAGAAAATACACAGAAAGAAAAACATGTTGATATTTAGGCTTGACGCTTAACAAAATATATATATAAGGTGTTATGATTATATTTTTTATGCGCCACACATACTTGTTGCCTTCACATTTTATATTTTAGAATATTATTTTTTATTTGTTTGCTTTGTGCATTTTTTTTTACCTTAACACCGTTCGCTACATTGACGCAAATAAACTTTATGATCGGCACGTACGGCAAAGTATTCATATAAATACACACACACATACACACACACGCACACACATCCATCGAATGGTTGTGCAGCAGGAAAAAGCTTGACTTAAAAAAAAAAAGAAGAAGAAAAAAGTAAATATATGTATAAATATAAATTATGCTTTTTAATTTAAGCATATTACCCTACAGTCGTTCGGGCCTTGCCTTGACTGACTACAAAGCGCACCTTATAAAAACGGGCATATAAAATGAATATGCATTTTTATAATCTTACTAAAGTCTTAATTAAGAATGGCAGAGCTTATGCCCATTTTACAGGTGAACACTTAAATCAGCGCTTTTCTCATATTTACAAAAAATAACAATACGTTTTAATGGTTTAAAAAACCATTGAAAGAACTATTGAACTTCGATGTGTTTCTTTATTTCGATAGGTTTCTATGTTGAACCAAACATTTAATTGTAGAAAGAATCTCCCTATACCAAGCCAGACAACAGTTACTATTTCTAACAGAGAAAGGTAACAAAAATTTAAATTTAAATGTTTGTTTTAACTCGTTTAAAAATATGAAATGTGAATTAGGGATTATACATTTGTTTTTTTTTTTTAATATACTAACTAGGAAATAAATATTTATAAAAAACACTGTCAACCGAAAATCTCATTAGATATTGTTACTATTCTCTACTTCCATATTTTTGAATTTGGTTGAGATCGGAAGATCCTGCTCAATTCCAGCGCTCAATTAAGCATAGTAAAGAAAAAATAAATTCTATATAGGTCTGAATTAGGGTATCATCTTTCATGTTTTCTTCAAAAACACTTATTCACAGTCTTTTAAAAATTTCTATTAGTAGCAAAAAAAAAGATTATTTTAATAATGCATTTTTAAGCTGTTGAACACTGAAAGTTTCTTGAGTAAATTCGGTTTATAAATTATTACAAATTGGATATTTGTTAATATTACATTTTACTCAATTTTTGGATAATATATAATTAGGAGTGAGCGTTATTTTGGATCATTTATTTATATCGATCTAGAAATCGGCTGTAGGCCTGAAACGTTTCATTTGGGGTATCTAAGCTTAGAAAATTAGGTTTATGGTAAATTTAACAAAAGCTTTGATTACATAACCAGACAATTTTATTTTGGGACCTTAACACATATTCTTACAATATTACTTTTCCCAAAATTTGCCTCCTTAAAACTAGTTAAAGAAAACATTGCCCGGAAAACTTTCCTTGAATATGCCCGAAATGCTGTAAAAGCCGAACGACTTATTCATAGCGCATCTTAGAGTCGCCTGTGGCTATGTCAATTATATTTTCGTATTTTTAATTTGTGCACACACTTGGCAAATATGTTGCGCATCGTTTCACATTTGTTGATCCTGCTGCTGCTGCTGTTGTTGTTGTTGTTGTTGTTGTGTTGTGTGTCATGTCCTTGTTGCTGTTGTCCCTATACGATATCTCTATTCAGCATCAAGCCTGAGTTATTATGCCAACTTCGTTTTTGGCTTCTTAGGCACGGCATTTGGCAAGGCCATTTGCCGTACTTTATGTCAGTGCCAAGGGGGTGGGGGGAGGGGGTTGTGTGGTAGCTGCTGCATTCTGTACATATTATTTTCTTTATGTGTGCGCGCGATGTGTGCGTATGTGACACGCTCGTTTTAAAATTTATAATGTGGCCCTGGCAAAACAAGGAAGCAGGACAACAAAGCATGCAATGCAATCACAGACATAGAGATTCCCATGAGCGCACTATAGAGCCAAGCTGTGTGTATTCGAGTGTGTGTGTGTGTGTGTATGTGTGTGCATGTCCCTTGCCCGTTGTTTATGGCTGGGCTACATTGGCGCTTGTGCTGTGTGCGTGCCTCGCATTTTGAAAAAGCGAAAGCATCGCGATATTTTTCTCAATGCCGCAATTTGAGTTGATATTTTTAAAGTGGACGCATGCTAGAGCATAGCAATAGGGTTTATGCCCTCCAGATGATATATATGCACATCAATTTAAGATTACATAAATGTTGTTAAAGTTAAAGCCATGTCAAGTCTAGTAACTCAGAGCAGTTATTATGGACAGTTGTATTTTGTAGTTGCATGCGAAACCAAAGCCATGGGGTAATCAGGAAAATACAGAAAATACTGATAATATTTAAGCACAAAAGAATTAGTTTATGGGTTATTTGATATACCTAATTAAATCAAAATTAACGAATGAATATGCCAACTGTTTATAATAATTGAATTGAATAACAACACGGATATTGTTTGATAAATTAATTCATATTAAAGGAATGGGAATTAATATAAGTATGGTAATTTATTCATACATTTGTTTAATCAATTAAATTATATTGATTATCGTTATCCAATGTATGGGGTCTATAAGCCTAATCTTTAGGAAATATTCATGGCCCAAAGACAAAGTGAATTATTCCCAATCAGCATATTCCTCTCCCATTTCCATAATATCGATAAATATCGATTTGAAGACTGGTTTTGTTAAGCAGATGTCAGAAAACGCAAGAGCTAAATTGGCTAGCTCGTTCTTCTGATCAAGAATAGATATGCTTTACGTGGTCGGAGAAGATTTGCTTTATCCTGTTACATACATTACCCAAAAATTTATGTTTTCCTCCACTTTCAAGGGCTCAGTAAACTTAACAAGCAATATTTATAAATATTACAAAACTAATGCCATAGTCAAATCCAAGCTGTATTCTATTCGCGGCTAGTTTTAGTGCACTAATTCAGTGAAGAAATCGCTGAATCGTGGCGCAGCCGTTGCAAATCTCAAATGATATAATAAGGCGACTTTCATTTGCACATAAATTACGGGGGAAACTGACTGAGAGGCCCGAAACTCAGCAAACCCTCGATCGATGGCCGCCCCCAGAAGCTTGGCGAAGAGTGCCAACCTTTTTGGGTTTTCTTTTTTCTTGTTCGGCTGGTTTCAGCAGCTTTCATTTTGGGCAGGGTGGCAGCTAACGATAAATGATAATCACAAAAATGGCCTGCAACATGTGTGCGGAAATACGGCGGCGCGACTTTTGGCGAAAGAGTTTTTGCTGCGGGCCCCTTTCGAGCACTTTTGCTGATTGGCGGGGCGACTGCTGCCGGCTGCCAAGTCAGACCTTTGCATGTGGCGAGCAGGGGAGAGAGAGTTGGGACTGGGGTTAAGTAAAGTTTGCGAGGCCATTCTAAAGTGAGCAAACTTTTGGACTCGCTCGTCGTCGTCGGCGTCGTTGTTGTCGTTGTTGTCGTCTAACTCTTGACTGGCGCCGTTTGGCTTTGGCCGCCAATAACTCAACAATATTAAGGTTGGCACGTGCACGTCCTTCCTTCGAGGTCCTGTGCTGTGTTTGTCGCAAAGTTTGTGGCTCGTTAAGCAAATTCAAACGACTTAAGCGGCAACACATGTTCACAAGCAGCGCCAGGCACAATCAGGCCCGACCACAGACAGCCAGCCCAATCCAGGCCAGGCCACGCCAGACCCGACCAGTGTGTGCGATCCTTGGTCCTTGTGCCCAGTTACCATTAGATTGTTGTTCCCATAACTCTTTGTTGATGTTGCTGTCGTTGCAGCAAATCGCTCATATTTGCAGGCGCTATTAAATCAAATAGATCACTCGACTTATTGCGCAGCTGATGACAGGAAAGGGCCACTCAAAACATCTCTGGGACTATATGAAACTCTATAAACTCGAATGTTGAGTGTTTAGTTCGTATGCTAGCTGCTTTATAGAATTGTCTATTTGCAGCAAAAATAAAGTGTAGCTAGTTAGCTTTGAGGAAAAGTTCATTTATTATATATCGACTTTTAATCATCTTCTATCTAATTTACTGATATGGTAAACCATATTACAGAGTTTATGTATTTATTTATATTTTCATAGATTTTTTATTGAAGCCTGCTTTGCATAGAATGTCAGATAGATATTGGCTTGTTATGAGTTCAATTATTTTGAATAAATATAAAACAAAGACATTTATTGGCAAAGGAGAAAGGAAGAAATGAATAAGTCTGTCAGTTAATTTAACTGACTCTCTCCTAAATCAGAAAAATGTGCGCTGAAGCAAATAACAGAAAATGAAATTTAATTGAATAAAATTATTAAAATAGCCTTAAGCAGAGGATTTTCTTGTTTTTGATTTGTTAGAGGATTACATTTAAAAACAAATGTATATTTTTTAGATAGAAAAAGGAACTTGGTACTTAAGCCTCTTATTGCCAATACAGCTACATATAGCTACCCGTCCTTTGTAGAATTAAATATTATCTTAATTAACCCTCATCAATACTAATGAGCATAGTTCCACACAGTCCAATCAATTAGCTGGTGATTATAAATTATGGCAATGCATTGAATATCTTGAGAGGAGTAAGAGTCAATTATCATATTAAATAACGATTATTTACACTTGCTTTGCTAGACTTCTGAAACCAGTTATAATCAGCGACTAATCCAATATTAAAATTAATCACATACTATTTTTAGCTGCTTCCAATTACTCACAAATTTGTTTATTTGTTAAATCTTTGCAGATCCGCCATTGGTAACGCTGCGTTTGGGCTCCACACTGACACCGGATGATATCAAGGAAGGCGACGATGTTTACTTCGAGTGTCACGTACAATCGAATCCTCAATGGCGGAAACTGTTGTGGTTGCATAATGTAGGTCGCGTCAAGTCAGCTGGAAGTGAGCGCTTGTCTGTCCGTATGCCCCGCCTAACACAAATTAAACCCCAAAACCCCATTGCCGAAATCCCAACAACAATGACAACAGGAGCTGGGCTCCAGGTCGTCTGTCGAACCAGGTCCTGTGCCCGGCTCCGAGCCGGCTGTCTGCTTGGTTGGCTTCCATTCATTTCTGTTTAAGTGTCAATAACATTGGCAAGTTGCGTATGCTCCTGATGCTCCTGATGCTGCTGCTGATGCTGCTGATGCTACCCCCAGAATGCATTGCGCTGCATTTGCTCATTTCAATTCATTTCACACCAAGAATGGCGGTCACAAGGTGCAAGGGGCAGGCAACCAACTCCACAATGTGCCGTTTCGGGCAAAATAGTTTTGGGATTTGCGGCATTGATTTTGAGCATCACTTTGGCTGTCGCTCACTCGCAGTCGCAGTCTCAGTCGCAATCGCAATCGCTGCCGCCGCCCGCAATCAATCAGCAAAGAGCACACAACTGACGTCAGCCAAGTCTGGGTCCTAGTAGAATGCCATTTCTACTGCTGCTGAGGACCCAGAAGCATGGCTTCTTGTTTGCGGATGGGCTTTGAGTGGTTTAACAGGCACTCGATTGTTTCACACACATATTGCAAATGGAAATTGCCTCCGTCTGATTCAGACAAAATATGGTGAACCGTTCTAGAAATGTGAGAGAAATAGAGTTTTTAAATTTTAGTAAAAAGAGGTAAATTTTAGATTGGGTGATTCTTTGATTTGCTTTGTTTTTAGGAACTTTTCGACAGTTAGCACTCGAACCCCAAAGTTAGTTATTGTGACAAACAAAAAACGAGCGATCTTTGTGTGATATAAAACTGTATCTGGCATTTTATAAACCAAAGAATCTGCAAAAGCTGGAAAGCCTCTCCCAGTATTTTCTATTTTGAGAGAGGTTCTTAGAATTCTTTAGCATAGAATACATTTCAGTATTTTAATTTATTATTGATATTCCTTAGTTTGAGAGAAATACGAAAGGTCCTTTGGAAATAATACCTTTGAGTATTTTAATTATTAATTTCTTAAACTGATTTTGAGAGATTCTTTAGAAATCATTTTATGGATTAAGTGTTATAAAAGCCGAACTAACTCTGGGAGAGCTAGTCCTCAAGAAAAGAAATATGTATCTAGAACTCTGACAAAAATTCTACTAAAAGCACAAGCAGAATTGCCTAGCATAGCTAAAGACTACCACAACTTAATTCTTGTTGTTGATTTTGCATCCAGACTGAAATCAGGTTTTAATCCAAGGAAGGTTGAACCAGAAATCCTTTTATTTTCTCGATGGTGCAAAAGCGTTCACCATGCATTTTGGAACTTACATCCATGCACAGCCGCCGGGTTTCCGGCGCCATAATAATAACTTTGTTTTGTCGTCAACAATAAATATTTTCGCTTTATATGTTTTTCATGGCTGCTTTCAGGGCATTCACTTGGAGCACAATACCTCGGCTCGTGTCATACGCTCCAATCAGAGCCTGGTGCTGCAGAAGATAACGAAACACTATGCGGGAAATTATGCGTGCAGCGCCATCAATGATGAAGGCGAAACGGTCAGCAATCAGTTGCCGCTGCGTGTTAAATGTGAGTATACAAATATTCAGGGCAGCATTACTCAAGAGAGAGAGAGAGAGAGAGAGGTGTGGAGAGTGGGCTGTAGAGATGGAGAGATGGCATAGATCAAGCGGCCTGGGCATCCCATAATCCTAGCAACTGTTGTCCTGCTGCCAGTTTATGTTTTGTCTGCATCAGTTTGCATTACGAGTACTATGGCTGGCACTTTGTTTGAATGCGTCATCTATCTGGCTGTCTGCACCGCCCGCAATCCGCATCCCACTCATGTTTTCTTATCATAAAGTCAGACAGCGACGTTGTCGTTGCCGTCGTTGTCAAGCTGCAGTTTCTACCCTGCCTCATGCCACGCCCTTGCCTCATTTGATGTATTGCATTTTTTTTTCCTTTTTTTTTTTATTGTTGCTCTTGGGCTCAACTCGAGTTGAGTCGTCTCGCTGCGGCGCAGTTGCAAGTCAAGGCTGTGAAAATATTTTTCATTCCGCTTTTTGCATAAATACAACATTTTGCCAGCGCGCCGACCCGCAGCTCCGCATCGGCCCTTGCGCCTTATCTGGAAAATCCAGTCGCTTTTCATATGCTTGCCACATGCGCTGCGTCATATTTCATTGCTGCCACTGCTGCTGCTGGTGCTGTTGCTGCAGTTGCAGCTGCTGCGGAATTATGCTTCAATTTAACAGGCCGCGAAATGTTGCCAACTCTTTCTCCTTCTCCACTTCTTCTTATCCTTCATTGTCGCAAGAAGCTGCTGCATGAGGCAGCTGCGCTTTAATTCAAGCAATTTGACAAGCGCCTTCGCTCGGCTCCTGATCGCGCTCATAATGAGCTTCGCAGCCGGGCTTAGCGGTTAGTCAGTCGCCTCTTGTTGCCTCTGAGCGTTACACATGTTGCAACAACAAGCTGCTCCCCAACTCAAGTGCCGCTGCCCCGCCCCCACATGCAGCTAGACAGACGCATTGCCTCGGGCCATAAATTAAATGGCTTGGCGACGTCGACGTCGACGTTGCTGCCAACTTCGCTGCCAACTTCGCTGCAGACAGCGGCCACTAACATTTTGGTTTTTGTTGAAGCCCTAAAGCAGTTTCAGCTTTAACAGCTACTGTTTGAACAAACGTTTTAACTTAATTGATGGTAATCTAACTAAAATGTTACTTGTTCTTTGACAAAATATTATCAGTTGATACTCGAATTAGATCTTAGAATCAATTTTTCTATATAGAGACTTTAATATCTTAGCAGCTAAGGGAGTTAGGCTTATTCGGCTGGCAAGTTCTTTATAACTAAGCACTGTTAGGTTTATTACAAAGGATTTAGTTAGTTTACATTTGGACATTGCAACAAGCTAAGCCTTTTATTTTTATTGGGTAAGGTAACACAAATTGAAAAACAAAGTGACTTTTTTTTATTTATTTTTTGGTAAGCTCGTTTCAATAATTAAAAAACTAAGCTTTACTTTAACGTATTGATCTTTAAAATTGCGTAAGTTTTCCCAAAATGTTGGTTACACATTTGAACAAAGGTTGAAAAGCGGAAAAAATACCCTGGACGTTAAAAATGTTCACGAAAACGTTTAATATAGAATATTTTTCTATATTTATCATTTGTTGAATGGGTCATCATGTTATTATTATTTATTCACCCTTTAGCCTTGGTTTTCCTTATATTTTGTTTTCATTATGTCCTTTTTTTTCTATGAATAACACAATTAGGATCATTTACTTGATTTAATTATTCTGTGCACACTTTTAGCACATATTAAGCTCGAATTATAATCGCATAGAGAATAATACAATTAGAAGCATTTAGTCAATTTTATTAATCTGTACACACTTTTGGCACTTGTCAAGCTCGAATTATAATCCCATAGACAAGGCCAATTGTCTTTTGAAACACATTCAATGTGGATTGTGTAAAATTCGCCCTGCCAACAATTCGTTTGATGTCATTGAACTTTTCTGTTTGTACAACAAAGGGCAACAAGTGCTTTGCCAGAGCTGTCTCGAGTGCTGGCTAATTAACTGTCGACGACTGATCAAACAGCCCTCGTGAACTCGCAATTTAAATAAGCAACAGGAAAAGCAACAGCAAAGAGGGTTGTTTTTGTTTTTGTTTTTGGCTAATTAATTACGCCCTTTTGTAAATTTTTAAGACAAACAATTCATCAAAAATTCAGCGTGCCTGACTGCTAATGCGTTTGGTTTGGTTTGGTTTCTGTGGGGTAGGGGTAGGTGGGGGCGTTGACAACAACGTGAAATTACGCATACGCCACGTGTGCTGTCAGCTAATAATCCTTTAACATTTATGAACGCCTTATTTACCTGCGAGTACTAAATCATGTTGCCACATCAATTAATTTCAAGTAAACAAGGACGTCGCGTTGCCACTCGACGGCTTTCCACGGCGTTGCCATTGCCTCTGACACTGACTGACTGCCATGGCCGCCCCCTCGACCCACCCCCACCCACCGCAACTGCCGCTCCCTCGTTCTCTCCGCATGCCGCGCCTACTCTAACAGATGAGTGGGCGTCCCTGCTGTCTAAATCACTTTTGTGCGTTTGCTTTAACGCCCCGGCAACTTACAACAGGGAAATGCGTAGCCTCATTTTTCAGCGTTTTCTTTTATTTTCTCTTTTTCACAACATTCCCCTTTATTTTTATGCCACCCATACGAAGTTTGTCGTTATATGTGTACGGCCTGGCTGACTGTAATTTGCATTATCTTCTGTTAACTGATTTTAGAGGAATTTTAGGTAGCAGATTTTAGTCAAGCTTACCAAAGGTTAGGACTTCAATTGACCGACTCACAGACTCACGACAGATTCATTCTTAAACAATGCCATTTTTGTAACTTTTATTATCTTTAGTTTATTGATCTTATATTTTTTTATATACTTACCAGTTAGTCGCGGATTTGAACCAGTGTCCTATTAATTGATTGGTTGACTCTTTTACAATTTAATTATTGTAACTTGCATTATCTTTTTTTTATAGAAATTTCAGGTAGCAATTTTTTTTTATTCAGGTTTTTAAAAATCAGTTAGCTGGGGACTCGAGCCGGTGACCTTCAATTGACTGATTTAAAGAACAAACATGCATATATTTTGTAACATTTATACATAAGTAAAATTATTGTAACATTCATCATCCCTAGTTTATCTATCACTGACGATTTGAGCCAGGATTTGAACCTTTTATTGATTGTTTCGTCAGATTTGTTAAGCAATTTCTTGAATACTTACAGTATATTGCACAGCTCCTTGAATTTAAATACAGTTTCGAGTGTATTCCTTTGTAAGAACATAGTCAAATTTTAGTTTTCTAAGCGCGGTGCATATGCGTGTATTTTTCAATATTCTAGGGTATTTCTTAACACTATATTCAAAATTAATTAACTGTTGTTGTTTTAACTCTCTTTTATCCTCTTCGTATCAGACACGCCTGTTTGCAAGCACACGGATCGCGTTATACTAATTGGTGCCTCCAAGGATGAGACTGTTGAGGTTATATGCGAGATACAAGCGGATCCGCCGCCTCGGTAAGTTTTAACAACAACAACAACAAAAAAGGGGGACCTGCCTACGAAGAACGGCTGCTCCTCCGCCTCCTTGTGGCAGAACTTCCTCTTTGCTGGCTTTTTTTAGGCAATTGCTTCCGGTTTCCTGTTCAAATGGAAGATTGCCAAATTGACAAATGACTGTAATTGTGTGCGTGTGTGAGTGTGTGTGTGTGTGTGTGAATGGGAGTGTGTAACGGAAAATGCTGTTTATATGCTAGGAAATGTGTGAAATTCAACAATATTTTGATTTTGCCGGCACTTGAAAGCTTCGTCCTCGCCATTCCTTAAATGTAGGCACTTTAATTTATTTTAAATATGCAGCTGCTGCTCTTGAGAAGGAGGGTGTGTGTGTGTGTGGGAGGGGGGTGGGGCACTGCTGGACGCTGTTAATTCACATTGCCACATTTGCCCCACTTTAATGTTTTTTTAATGAGCCCGCCGCCGCCTTGGCACCACAGCGCACCGCTGCGGCCTGTCGAGCGACTTTATGCCTGCCTCGCCCTCGCCCTCGCCCTAGCCCTCGCACCCTGCTTATACGGCTTTCTCTGCGTCTGTCCAGCTGCCTTGTCTTGTATTTAATTTCAATTTTTCCTTCTGTCTCGCTTTTTTGTGTTTTTTCCTTTTTTTTTGTTGTCTGTGGCTGCGTCTTGAGTTGACGCTTTATGCTAAAATAATTAATCATTAGCCGGCGCAAAATATGCGCGTTGTTGCCGCTGGCAGCGCAGCTGCCTCGTGTAATTGTTGTGGTAGAGCTGAACTGTCGAGGGGTGTGCCGGGAGGCAATCGTTCCTTCACTGGGGGCGTTGCTCGGCGTTAACATTAAAAAAGCTGCTGCATACTCTGAGGGGGGATCTACGCGCAAGCGGCCAGCCCGAGCTGGGCGGCTACAAGTTAATTTATCAGCATTTAACTGCTTGACAGCGATGCCAGCTATTTTTTCGCCTTCTTGTTTTTTTGTTTTTTTAATTTTTAAATTAAAGTATCATGTTGAGAAAATGCAAACGACTTAAATTTAAAACAAAAATTGTGCAAAAATGTGATCAACAAGCTATTTGCAGCATAAAACAATGGACTTATAACTTCTCTTAGTAAATTTGCATTATAATTTTGTGATATTTAAATATCTTTACTATGTGGTGCAAAGATTTTTTTGTCTTTTTCATTGAAAATGCGCTTGACATCTGCAAACTGATTTAACACCATAGAAACTGTTATTTTCAACCCTTTTTTTTTCTTTTTTAACTTTGCACAAATTATTAAAATAGTTAATAAATAAATGTCCTCTCAACTGCTTCTCTTTTCTCCATTCAAATACCTTTTCATTTGGACAAAGTCCCACAAATTTATTCATTTCTTGAATTTAATATATATTTTTACTGTCACATATTTTAAATTTCTCTCGCATATATAAATATTTGTATACAGTTATTATTAATTTATGAAGGCAGTGAGAAAAGCGAAAGCGTCCAACCGAATATGCCAGAGATAATTAACCTTTTAAAAGGCTTTCCATGTGCGAGGACTCAACTCTTTAGCTCGACAGACAGGCTGTGATATTATGTATGTGTGTGTGTGTGTGTGCTGGTGTGTTTATTTGTGTGGGTGTGTTTAACCTTTAATATTTTAACGAGCTATTTTAAAAATGTAAAACTTTCCAAACATGTCTCACTTGCTGGCTATCCCGCTGTCCCATCGGCCTGGCCTCTCTGTTCCGATACGGCTTTCGCCTGGACTGATGTTTCTGCCTTTTGCACGCGCTTCCTACTGACAACGCAACTGTCAAAATGTCAACGCAACACAAACAACTACAACAACTACAACAACTACAACAACAACCATAAAAATAAAACAACAAACATGTACAGAACATTTCGCTGGAAGTTTAACAACTCGGGCGAAACTCTGGACGTGGGCAGCGAACGATTCAGCGTGAATGGAAGCCGCAGCATTTTAAAGTACACTCCGGTCACAGATCAGGTAAATAACTACCCCGACCAATTAAGCGACTCACACAGCATATTCGTCGCCATACACACAAATCTACATACATATGTATACATACGTACATACATTCACACATAACGATACTTATATTTACATATTTTTTACGTGTTTGCAGGATTATGGAACTCTATCCTGCTGGGCGGCTAATGAGGTGGGCACACAGCAACAGCCCTGCCTCTTCCAAGTGGTTTTAGCTGGTAAGCGCACAGTAGCTCAACCGTTTTAATGAGTGCTCACTGTAAATGCTGCTACGTTTATACATACCAAAGCCTTAGTTCCTTTAGTCTTACAGCTGCAAATTATTTATTTTATGTACAAAGATTTTGTTTGTGTATTTCATTTGTGAATTGATTTAAATAAGGAATTTAAGTAATTATTTTTTTAAGAATTTTTAGTCAGAATAAGTTCTTATTTATATTTTTTATTTGTTTGTCAACAATCAAATTTTGTCATAAGTGAAATAATAATATAGTATAATACAAACAACTAGAATATAATATAACTTAATATAATATAATAAGAGCATAATAGAAATTATAAATAAATGATATTTTCAGCTGCCCTTCCTGGTTCCTAGGTGACCCCTATATCCTTAGTTATGCCATGCTATGGATATAGTCCTGGTGAACCTAAAGGACCAAATTCTTTTAAAATTTAGAAGGAAATGTTCTTAAAATATATGTATGATTTTTCCGCAGCCACGCCCCTCTCGATGGTTTCTAGATGACCCCTATATCTAAGGTTATACCATACCTTAGATGTAGTCCTAGTGAACCTAAATAACCCTAACGCACTAAATTTTTCTAAAATCTGCAAGGACATGACCGACTTATGACTATTTTTCTAACAAGGATGTTTTCACAAAATCGGCCATAACTTGGTCATTTCAAGTACTCTCCTGATGTCCTTTGGGCAAAAGATAGTCATTTTACGTCCAATTCAGAATATTTAACAAAAAGTACAAAAGTCCTTTTGAGAGCTGAGAAAAAGGGATATTTGTTTATACAGTTAAAGTCTCATAACTCGGTCATGTCCTTGCGTATCCTGACGAGTCCTGTGTCAAACATTGTGTTTGGACTAGGACTATTATGTGTCCAAAGGACATCTTTCTAGTCCTTGTACTTTTCGATTTATGGCTACTTTTCTATAAAGGACATTCTTTTTATAACTATAGCTCGGTCAAATCCTTAAGGATATCTGAAGGATATACATTTCTGAACTCGGGAAGAGCAGATCTATCGGATGGCATTCAAGGATTTCCAGGATTCGACAAAAAAATTTTCCTTAATATCTGTAAGGGGCTTAGTCAGAAAATCGAAATTTTCAGGACTAAATTCGCCATTTGAAGGACTATCGGGATGTCCTTTGGCCAGTAGATAGTCCTTATCGTCCCATTAAAGAATATACAAACCGAAGGACGATAGTCCTTCAAACAGCTGAGAAATAAGGACTTTTTTGTTATCAGAAAATAGCCCATAACTCGGCTATATCCTTGAATATCCTGACGAATCATGTGTCAAAAAAATTGTGTTAGCAAGGGCTACCAACTGGCCAAAGGACATCAAATCGTCCTTGTAGTTTCGGAGATATTAAGGATTTTGTGTCAAATGCCCATTTCCTTGCAATCCGGGACTGAAAAAATGACCAAGTGCTGGATTCTTAGATGACCCCCTGATTTTTTGATGCAGTTCGATGCGCTTGGGCCTTACGAGCCTAACGCACCATATCCTTTGAAAATCCGCAAGGATATGGCCGAGTTATAAGCATTCAAAAATCAATATTTTATTTGGTCGGCAGAAAATACAACTTTGCATACCCGTAAGGGGCACATTTAAGGTACCCCTTTTACATTTGCCCCTTACGTGTATGCAATGAAATTTTTCATTAAAAGATTTTTGTCTACCTGCTAGACATTTCTGTTCGCCTGGTATTTTTGTTATATTTCGCTAAAAATCTCGCGGCCCAGCCGCCGACGCCGACGCCCCTTTTGGGTATGCAATGGACATTTTCGACCGCGTATTTTTTTGTCTACCTTCTGATCAATTCTGTTCGCCTGGTATTTAAGAAAAATTTCGCTACAAATCTCGCGACCCAGCCGCCGACACTGACGCCCCTTTTGGGTATGCAATGGAAATTTTCGACAGCGTATTTTTTTGTCTACCTTCTGATCAATTCTGTTGGCCTGGTATTTTAGCAGAATTTATAAAATCTCGACAGGCAGCGATCCCCAACGATGCCCCTTTGGGTATGCAATGGTTTTTTGCCAGCCACGTTCAAACGTTAACTTTAAATGCTTATAACTCGGCCATATCCTTGCGGATTTTCAAAGGATATGGTGCGTTAGGCTCGTAAGGCCCAAGCGCATCGAACTGCATCAAAAAATCAGGGGGTCATCTAAGAATCCAGCACTTGGTCATTTTTTCAGTCCCGGATTGCAAGGAAATGGGCATTTGACACAAAATCCTTAATATTTCCGAAACTGCAAGGACGATTTTGATGTCCTTTGGCCAGTTGGTAGACCTGGACAACACAATTTTTTTGACACATAATTCGTCAGGATATTCAAGGATCCTTATTTCTCAGCTGTTTGAAGGACTATCGTCCTTCGGTTTGTATATTCTTTAATGGGACGATAAGGACTATCTACTGGCCAAAGGACATCCCGATAGTCCTTCAAATGGCGAATTTAGTCCTGAAAATTTCGATTTTCTGACTAAGCCCCTTACAGATATTAAGGAAAATTTTTTTGTCGAATCCTGGAAATCCTAGAATGCCAACCGATAGATCTGCTCTTCCCGAGTTCAGAAATGTATATCCTTCAGATATCCTTAAGGATTTGACCGAGCTATAGTTATAAAAAGAATGTCCTTTATAGAAAAGTAGGCATAAATCGAAAAGTACAAGGACTAGAAAGATGTCCTTTGGACACATAATAGTCCTAGTCCAAACAGAATGTTTGACACAGGACTCGTCAGGATACGCAAGGACATGACCGAGTTATGAGACTTTAACTGTATTTTTGTCCTTTTTGTTAAATATTCTGAATTGGACGTAAAATGACTATCTTTTGACCAAAGGACATCAGGATAGTACTTGAAATGACCAAGTTATGGCCGATTTTGTGATAATATCCTTGTTAGAAAAATAGTCATAATTCGGTCATATCCTTGCAGATTTTCGAAAAACTTAGTGCGTTAGGATCGTAAGCACTAACTGCATCAAAACATAATGAGGTCTTCTAAAAATCCATTGCCACAGCCAAATAAAAACGCACTTAATTTTTTCTGTTTTAAATTTAAGATCGTTTTGTTTATTATACGATAAATGTCATTTGGCATAACGTGTTGCTTAGCTTAGCGGCAACTTGGCCACTTCGTTCTCCAGGGTGTTGGCCGGCGCTGATAGAATATCCTTGTGTATCGATAGGAACCTAAACTGTTGCGTGGAAAAAGAAAGTATTATAAGTTTCGTATGTCAATAGAAATAGGTCTAGGAGTACTTACCGGGTCGCAGATTAAGCGGCAGGAATGATCCACCCAGAGAAAGGCGGTGGGTCCAACGCAGCTCGTCCAAATGGAAACAATCGAGGTGTGGGGCCAAGAAATGACCTCAGGATTAGTTTCAGCTATGGAGAAAATAAATTGATTAAATATAATACACAAGTAAGAAGAGTTGTCTACGGAATACCGTAGATTTTAGATGTCCGATTTGTTATACATGTAGTAATGTTTAAAAAACGTATTTTGATAAGTTAAAGCAAGAAAACTTATAAAATAAAAAAGTCATTCATAGAGGAACTTTGTTTGCAAGCTAAGTATTATATCTTGTAGAAGTATGTGGTACAGTTATCTCAATTGGCTGAATCCGACATTCTTACAGTCTGCAACTGACAGGATATAAGGGTTATCTAGAAAATAGCGAGTGAGTGGGACTGGGAAGAGAAGAAATAAACCACACGTATTTCTGGAACGCATCCTTGCGAATGTCAATAATAAATTTATACAATAGATATGTGACTCACTTAGGAATCATATACTTGGGAATTTGAAGTTTCCAGCTAGACGGTCTTATATTTATTACATCTTTTAGTTACTTTCGCATAGTTCAGATACATTTGTATCTTTCATATTATGTTCATACTTCACTTTCAATTACTTTTGAATTTTACAGATACTTTATTTTCAAATTATCTTTCAAATAGTTCTGATCTTTCTGCAGCATTTCTGACTTTAAGATATATATTTTTTTAATTTATATGCATTTATTTAAGTTCTTTTAGATACTTGTGTCTCTCTCAGATACTTTAATAACTTTAAGATGCAAAATTTGTATCTTTTATAAACATGTAAATCTTTTAGATACCTGAGCATCTTATAGATACTTTTGTCCTTTAGAAACTCTGGAATCATTTAAATACTTTTGTACCTTTTTATTCACATTGATGATATTTTATATTGCAGCTGCTTTAGTTTTTTACTGCTTGCAATTAAATTTTATATATATGTCACAGCTGCTCTTTGCTGCAAAAAACCTTTATACTGCGATATACTAAGTATTGTAAGCTATCTGAGATTTAACTTATTGTATAAACACAGCAACTGTTTCCCGTGCGTCTGTCTGTTTCTTGAGTATTTGCTTTTTGATCCCAACAAGTTAAGGCCACAAGCAAACACTCACGTGGCCCTTACTGACTCTCACATTTAACCCGAAACAAACAGACCAGAAAGTGAGTGCAACAATCTGGCTTTGTCAGCATTACCAATCCACCCAAAAACAAAAAAAAAAACAAAAGGAGAGAGCAACTGTTTATATATTTCTTTTTCTCTGTCTTTCTTGTTAATTTTCTGCACAACCTGCGCACGCTGGACAACATAAATCTGATTCCGACAACCCCGATGCCCAACTCGCAGCTCTGCCAAATGGCGTCAGCAACTGCAGCATCTTCAATCGCACAGAGCTCAGTGTTGACATACAATGCATACCCGGCTACGACGGCGGTCTGCCTCAAATATTTGTACTCGAAATGTTTTCAACACGCACCGGCATTACCAGGTAAGCATATTAATCAGCTACTCGTACAGCCCGACAGCTACACAAACACACACGTGCACATGGACAACACGTTGCCTGTCGCCGACAACGGATAGCCCCGCCCCTCTCTCCGCTGGTTCGCTTATAAGCGGATTACGTTTGGCCACTTGGCTTAGCCCCCCAAAGGCTCAGGTTTTCACCATATGTCAAATAACTGAGAATATACGATTTAATATTGCCTCAGGTGAATCAAAGTGGGTCGGCAGTGTATTATTATAAGTTGGCACTAATTTAAGATCTACTTGAAATAAGTATGGCAAAAACGAAAAGAATGCTGCAAGGACGATAGCAAAAAAACATGTTGAAGCTATTAAAAGCTATTTGACGTTTCCTGTTTGCAGAAAACGAGATTAAACTTTTCGCAAAATATTTTATGATGGAGCACATGGAATTCACTTTAACTGACCATTAGAAAGAATTTTTCATTGCATTACTTAGAAGTAAAGAAGAAAAAAAAGTTTGCTGCAGTTTAGAAAAGGAATTGTAAGCTTTATACCCTTGCAGAGGTTAATATGATTTTGTCATTAAATTTGCAACGACTAGCAGGAGACTTCTCTGCACTTCTTGATCAGTATGAACAGACAAGGTTATATAGCTAGGTTTTTCGGTCCATCATTATTTAACTTTGCATAGATTCGTTAAAATATTCTTACCCAACTCAGCGTTTACTATTTGCACAATGCTTCTACCTAACAAATTAGCTTGCCTCTTCAGATGCTTTTATATCTTATATATACTTTTTAGGCCATAGCCTGCTTGATATGGTTCATAAATACGTAAGGTATTAGTATATATGAATGGTCGCATTCACACACACTCACACATATACACACAATATATAGAGTCTATCTGCATTTGACAGCTACCTTAAAGCGATACCAGCAGAATATTATTCAATATCAGTTTCAGTTTGACAATTGTGTGAATGGAGAGAAATGAAGGGCGCGAGGGATGAGCCGTGCTGTCCGGCGTGTGTCTGTGTGTGTGTGTGTGTGTTTGTGTGTGAGGCAAGTGTTTGGCACATCAGCGTGTGTGTGTTCGCTCCTTGGGGGGGCGTGTAATTAGGCGTAAGAGAGGGCGCTTCAGGCCAAGTTCACCCTCCACACAATATTGTGTGAGCGGCAATCAACAATTTATATGCATGTGAAATGGGTATTTAAAAAAATGCGCATTTTTATTACGGCCCAAGCCCTAAATCGCCGAATCGTATTCATATGCACACATAACATTATGCGGCAGCATTGTATAAATTTTCTGTCAGTTGCCCTCGAAACGAAACAAAACCAGAAACATTTCATAAATATTGCTTATTAAAACAATGGCACTGGCCCGCGGGGGGAATGATGAAGGCAGCCCCAGAAATATCAAAGGACCCTCATTCAAAAAGATTGCGCCAAAACGCAACAAACGTCGTCATCAATGTAAAATTGTTTGTTAAAGCAAATGGCATATGGGGAATAAGAGAGAAGAGTTAGCACCAGAATAAAGAAGCTTGAATACACTGCAAAATGGTAAACTAAAGTCAGCTATTAAATAGAATATTATGACATAGGAGAAGAGTTAAATTAGTTCAATTTAAAATATTTAATACAGATTAATGGGAGATTTCAGAGGTCGAGCAAATTCGAAACAAAAGCATAGATGTCGTATTATATTAAAAAAATGCAAAATTCATTCATCAACTGAAATTAAGACTTTAGATTTCGAAAGTTGTTTATTTTAAGGTAATTTCTCAAAATTTGAAGTATATATTTTTGCTTGTATAAATACATTTTGACTTTCAAAACTTTCGTCTCAACGTGTTACATGCTGCTGCACAAATTGCTAACATCCTTGGCAAGGGCATTCGAAAGGATGAAAGAATGATGCAAAATTTATATAGACATTGAACCCTAATATTTCAGAGTTTGGCAAAAACAAAAAGGCGAAGGAGAAAAGAGACAAGTGAAAGCCGCAACAAGGCAAAAGGCATCAAATTTAAATTGAGGTCATGATTGGAGCATTGCTTCTGTTGGGTGGGCTTGGTCTTCAGTTGTGGGATAGGCTTTGAGGTTGGTTGACATGGGCGATGGTCCAAGGCAGAAATGTAAAAGGCTTAAGCTGCCAAAAATATATACATATAGAATATATTTATTGTTGGCGGGGTTTTGTGCCATCCTGACATTTGATTGCACATGATTAAAGGCTTAGAGCTGTTGATTTGCCATGCTGATTTAATAATACATAATAATATCCTGGGGGTCCATCTCTTTTATTTATTTTTTCAGACTTAATATAACCAATGCGGAGGAGGCTCTTTTCTCGCTGGAGAATCTGGATACGCTCACATCGATGATGATGCAGGAGAATAACTCGCTGAGAATGCGCATTTACTCTTACAATCAAAAGGGACGCAGTGCGGCATATCTGTTGCCCGATTTCATAATTGGCTCAACAGCTTACAAGACAGGTGAGTGGCACACACCAAAACATACACCAAAACACACACACACACATCATACACAGACACTCACATGTGTGTGTGCTAGATGGCTAGGCTTGATTGATGGATGGGAATTGTAGGGCTTACTGCATTTGACACATGAAGCTGCTGCCTTCTGGCTGACTCTGCCTCCAGACTGCTGCTTTTCAGTGATTTTATGTTTTAATCCCAGGCCAGGGTATCGTACTTGCCCTGATAGCCCCGACCAGGGGCGAGTGTGTGTCTTACACATATGGTGGCAACACTTGACAGGTAACATTATCATCTGCAGTACTTACATAATCAACATGCCTGCCTCATGGGCCGCATTTTGACGGCTTAAAATATGTATAAAATTACTTTTCTGAAGTGTCAAACTGCACTTCAGTAGCCAATATGGCCGAGCACAGTGATTGCATATAGCGAGAAAAATGTATGAAATTCATTTTATATATAAATTAGTGTATAGATTTTCTTACTTAAATGAAAAACTAGCCCAGCCTCAATAATAAAATCTTTCTTAGTTTATAGAAGTTTAAAAAAGTTAATTATTGAAAAAGGCCAGAATTCTTCGAAAGATATTGGAGACTTTTTCGAAATATGTAATAAATTATTTATAGAAAAAAGTGCAGATACCCCAAAGTATTTTAGAAATTTTGAAACAAATTTAAAAATTTATCGTCGTACTAACTTTTTTTTTTGAACTATAATTAAAGTAAATCAAATTAACTGTTTTATTAATTAATGAAATATTCATTAAACCACAAAAATAAAATCCGAAAGACATAATAAATCGCTTTATCAACAAATCCTGTATTCTTTTCCAAAATTATTTAATATTAAATGGCAATTCGCTTGAGTTTATTAACTTGGTGTCTGAGTTTATTATTAATCGAAAAACAATTCCCTCAACCAACCTAATTACAATTCCCATTTCGAATAAAATATATATTTGAATTGCATTTATTTATATTAAATTATTGTGTTCTTTAGTGCGTTCTTTCACTGTACACTTGCTTAAGTTGTTATATGGTATATGAATACAATAATTAAGTTTTGTTTCCCATTTAAATGCATTGTACGTCCCACTGTACAGTTGCTAAGATAACTCATACCTACTTTTTTCCGACTCTTCTCATTTTCATATCGTTGACACAACTCGCCTAAAAATAAAACTGTCAAACGACAAAACAAACTGAATGGAAACGCCTCCCTGATACGCGACTACATATGTGAAATATTTGCGATGTGCGTGGTGCGATGACAATCTATCCAAAACCGACGATGATTTATGACCGACGATTGTCAACCTGTAATTACGACAATAACCGATGACAACAATAACAACAGACGACGATGTGACGCTTACATTGTCCCCGGTGATTGTTGGCAGCGTTCTGACCATCATAATTATTGGGGTGGCCATCGCGATACGAATATTTCTGGTAACATTCGTGCACAATTTGCGACGCAATCGCCAGCATGGCAACAAGGCGACATCAGCGGGCGTTGTCGTCCAAGCGGCCGACGTCTTCAAGGTGAGCACACATACTCCTTCCTTCTATCCTACCTGACACTCGAATGCAATTAATAATGTTTGGCGACATTTTGCAGAGCGGCAACCTGGAGAAACCGCGCTGGCAGCACACTGATATAAAAACGAAATCATCGGAGGATCTGGTCGAAGACGAACGTGATCCAGATGTAATACCCTCACAATACGGTAAGCTCATAAACAACAGCCTGACACTTACTACAAATACCTTTCGGGTACTTAAGCTATTTCAGGCAGTTTGTTGAAGTTTTTGATATATCCAAATTTGTACAACAAAAATGTATATATATATATATATATCGAGTATAATTCCAGAAATACTATTTCAATAGTAGAGGACAAGCAAATAATAGAGTATTCAAGAATGTGACGAAAAAATTAGAAGAAATTCAAGTTGTTTGTCGTATTTGTCAGGGTCACACGGGTTTTATAGTGCGACAACGTGCACTTTGATCATTAAACTTTAATCAAATTTTATGGTTACTTTTCTGACATTTACTTTCATGTGTCTCGCTATCGCTGATGCTTGCTCGGCGGCCAACATCGCGTAATCGTAATCAATCTCATCAACACACAACAATACCCACCGACAAACCGAACATGCTGCGACCCCCCGCCAAACCAATCCAAACCGAACCGAACCGAACGGAACCAAAACCAATCCAATCCAATCAACGGATGCAATTTTCTTTTAATCGTAAATATTTTTAACGATGGCATACGCCAATCTAAAACGCCACCGCATCCTCACGTGACCACCGGACTCGGACCCGCACTCGGACCCGGACACGGACCCGGACTCGGATCTCGTACGCGAACGCGAACTCGGACCCCATACGTGGCACCATCATCAATAAATTTCAATCGCACAGTTGGCGGCAGCAGCGCCGGCAGCAGCGGCAGCAATGCCTCCAATGTGGGCAGCACCACAGCCGGCACAGCCACCGGCAGCAGCACATCGACAGCGGTCGCCGCAGCTGTGTCCGCAATCGACCGCGATGCGCATCAGTTTGCTGCGGCAGCAGCTCCAGCAGCGACGTCGTCTGCCGTTGGACTCGTTGGCAGCATTTCCAAATGGTCACCCAATGGCAATGTAAGTAACCCAGCCCTGTATTACGACGAATGAGCAATATTTATATCTACTACTATGTTTTATTGGCTTTGTGGAGTTTCAACTATCAATCGCTTTAATTATTCTTTTAAGGTGCAAATTCCGTAAGTGTTTGCTATATAAGGGAAATGTTTTTTTAGGACGAAATGCTTTTTTTTAATTATCCTAGATTTCAGAAGCTAGTTTTATTTAAATCAGGCTGGTTTTGTACATTTAAAAAAAAAGGCAAATTATTTATTAAAAAGTGCTCCCATATAAAATCTGTCTTAAATTAAGGGTAACCACTTTAAGAATTTTAAGGGAAATTTGTGGGATAAATCACTTTAAATTGGAACAAAAAATAAATAGAAAATAGGAAAACAAATATTTTCATAACGAGAAACTCTTCTGAAATTCTATTTCTATTATCGAGGAAAACTGTTGCACTTGTGTGCATATTTTATGACCTATCCAAGCACTTACTTTAGTTACATTTAATAAGTATTTAATTATTAATTATTGTAATTGATGATTATAAGTTATCTTCTAACATTTTGTTAACTGTAGCATTTGAATCTAGTTAGATTAATTTTCCTGCTTCCTTTTGGTTAATTAATTAAAATATGCAAAAGACCTCATTTAACCAGTTGTTATTATTTACGTGTGGTTTAGGATTAACATGCCTAAATAGGGCATCTTCGTATCATTCTCTTTTTACACTTTTTTGATTGTTTTTGGTATTTAGTTACTCTTCAATATATCATTTTCATGTATTTAAAGCAATTTTTCTCTTAGCAATTTGCATGTAAAAATCAATATACCGAATAGACCATATCATATTTATTCGAAAATCAAATCAAGTTTGAAAGGCAAGCAAAAGAAGAATATAAGAAACTAATCAAAGTCCACAAAAGTTGCAGTCACAAATGAAGGGATATAATTAAAAAGGTCTATTCGAGCAGAACAGGAAACAGATTTGGGGCCAGTGATTGCCTTTAGATTTGCATTGCTATTTGATTGAGTCGTCGATTTTTTTTTCGGCTTTTACTTTTCTTTTTAAAGTGTGGATATGAGTCTCGTATCAGTTTTGGGTATTATTTTAACGGGCTTTCGGGGTGTTTCTTTTTTCACACCAAAACCAATCAAATACTCAAATTGCCAAATTGCTAAGCAAAAGTGTGGACAACCACAGCACGGGCATCAAATTCCAATTCCAATCGCAAACCCCAATAGCCCGAAACCTCAAACTCAAGCCTCAAAGCATGCCAAAGGGTGTTTATTAAAAAAAGCTTTTAAACTGTCAGAGCGCACGTCTTATTGCTCGCCCCCATTCAGGAGTTATAAATAAAAGCCATTGGCTAAGACTGAGTATAATGCGGCAAGCATTTTTGTATTGCAACCAGCAACCAGCCAACAGACAGCGACAAGGTAATTGCGAGTTGCTTTCTTTATTTCGCCCATTTACAAACACAATACATCATGTCGAGCTACCCATAATCAATCAATATTTTCAGTATTTATATTGCTCAACATTCTTTGGCTGCCTTTCTTAACTAGCTGCAAGAGGTGGGAGGGCTTAATGGGGGAAAAGTACGGATTTTGTGGCCGTAAATCAGTTCAATGTGATTGAATATGCAACATGTGTGCGCTGTAAGTTTTATGGAAAACGAAAAAAGAATCGAGTTGCCTAACAAATTTGGAATATGCAAAAGTTAGCTTTGTTAAGTGAGATTTTAATTTTATGATTTAGATTTAAATGAAGATACAAAAAAGGGTTAAATGAAAATTGAAGAAAATATTGAGAGCTTGCAAATGATATTACTCTTATATAATTGGAATTGTATTATGTGAATAATTCCAGTTAATATTTTGTTTTGTGAATGTAATTGAACTTTAATTGTTAAATTGTTAAATTTTACAAACAAAAGGGGGCTCTTAAACGGGCAGTAATAATATTTTGTACGATTACCATACAAAACTTAAGTCCAATAGTTAACATGGCAATTATATGATGGTTATACAATTTGATCGAATTTGGTATATACACTAGCTTCCATATTTGGGCTAGAGCTTCAATCAAGCAATAGAACTTGATACCAAATAGATAGACAGACAGTTGGTCTTGGTTACAGTGGCCTATATTTACATTTTTATATGATGTTCATGTATTTAATTCATAAAAATAATATTTACATGCATTTGAAAAATATCTAAATAAAATATAATCCCCTAACTAATGCCTATATGGCGACTTGGCTTAGTGAACTTGTTTCATATTTTATATATTACGCCCATTAAACAGAGACCGCAAATTAAAGCCTTTGAAAAGCAAAAACAATTAAAACATTTATACACAATTATAATTTTAATAAATGAATACATTTTCGACCAATGTTTGTACTATTCATAATTTCTATGGAATTTTCGTTTTATTTGAGCTTAAATTATAAATTCGAGATAGGCGCAACTGGGTGACCATTTCGCTTAGCCATTTGTTTTCATTTCATTAAATTTGCAATTAGAGTTCATTTATGGATTTTGCGACTAGCCTAAATGCCTCTGGCATTATCATAAGCTGTTCCGAGTGCGATTAGAGCGCTGCTCGTAACCATATGCCATTGACAGACCAACTGCCCCAATAAATATATACTATATCTATATATACTATATTTATGCATGTATATATATAGCAAATTTGACTAATCTGCCAAAAAAAACTGACTGTTACCACGCCCAGCAAGCAAATCCTATTCGAAATGCCAAGTGCAATGCATGTTTGGCAAGTGGAAGTTCTCTAGTCGGGAATGCCCGATTGGGATATACCCTGTAGCCAGTGCCAAGCTGTGTTTAGCGAACATGGCTGGATTGACTCTGTTATTGATGCTGAACAAGAATTTGTATACTTTGCAAGCTCGAAAAAAGCTTCATTCTACCAGTTTTATACATTTTCACAAAACAATTCTACGCCGTCTTTAGGGTATAAAACAGGGTGTAAAAATACCCAGCTAAAAAAAAATAAATAAAAATGCAAAAAAAGTATTACGAATGCTGCGGTTTTTGGCAGAGATAAGCGCCAGGCAGAAGGGGGGCTAGTGGGTGTTTTCACAGTGCATACTATGAATGGAATTTGCTGCGCTGATTTCAATTACGTTTAAATTACCAACAGGCATTGGGGGGCGTCGGGCGTGGAATGTAACCGTAGCCATGGCCGTAGCTGCCGTAGCCATGGCCAATGTTGGGCATAACTCAATTCGTTAATTAAATAATTTTAAATATTGGCAAACATAACACACACAGGAGAATCGCCGCAACGCCGCATTGGTGCATCGGCGAAATCTGCTCAACTCAACAACAACAGCTTTTCGCAATGCAATTCAGCAATTTGGTAGTCACAATGAGAGAGATTTTCAATTAGAATTTCCAATACAACTGACCGAAAAAAAAAAATATTTTTCAATAATCAAGCATTTGGATTTTATACGCTCACATTCAGCAGGCTGTTTAAAACTGGACTCGAGTTTGACTGCGCTTGAAGTCATCTTATAAAGTTAAACAGAAAATTAGAAATTAAACAGCTAAAGAGCTTTTCAAAATTTTACAAAGTGAATGAAAGATTTGAGTATTAAAAAATAATTTCGATCGAAACTTATGTATACAGTATTTTTAATCCCCTGAAATTCAACTAATTGGATATTTCTTCTATAGATACTGATTGAATTTCTAATATATAAATGACATATAAATTGACAACAATATAAAAAACTGATCATTAAATTTCAATTAAAAACTTCGACAAAGTTATAAGCATTGAAAAATTTGAATTCCATAAATTAATCAAATCTCATTAATAAGTATTTACATATTATTTTACTTCCAAATAAAATGTGGCTCAAGATTTAATCTTTTTAAAACACATCTATATTAATAGCTATAATATTCGCATTAATTTACCTTGCCCGTATTATACTTGAAAGTGTGTGAAAACGCCGGCTAAGTAAATTAAATATAAGTCCAACTGAATTGCATTGGTAAATTGTTAATTTCCGTTTCAAAAGCACGCTCAACAACCGAATTATATTTTTAGAAATTCTGTGGGTGGGCTAGGAGAGAAGTGGGGCTAATGTACTTAGTGCAACTGGAACTCGAAAACATTCCAGCTGAATGGGTCTAATGCGTTTTCAACTTTTATCTGCCATCTGTTTTACAGGCACCGACCATGACGACGACAACGACGCTGTCCAGCGATCCGTCGAATCCGCCGGTCACCTACAATCAGATCAATGCGCAGCGGGCCCAGCTGCTGGCCGCGGTGGCAGCGGTCGGTGGCGGCTGCAGCAGCACTGTCATCTCGCCCAGCAGCAGCATTATGGGCAGCCTGGGCGCTGGCAAGCCGCTGACACTGGGCATGGGCGGCACCATCATTGGATCTCCCACGTCGCTGTCCTCGACGGCGACGCTGGCAGCGCACCTGCAGCCGGCGCACAGCAGCGGTGTGGGCACACTGCCGCCTGGCCTGGGCAGCGGCGGTGGCTATATAATGAATGCCTATGCCAGTGGCAGGCTGCATCATCCGCCAGGCGGTGCTGGTGTGGGCCACACGGCCACCTTAAATCGCCATCACCATCATCAGCAGCAGCAGCAGCAGCACCATCATCAGCAACAGCAGCATCATCAGCATCAACATCATCATCAGCAGCCCGGCTCCGGTTCGAGTTTGTTGCTGGGCAGTGTTGGCAGCGTTATGGGCGTGGGCGTCACCTCAACAACAACCACCTCGTGCAACTCCTCACAGGACTTGGATGACAACATTAATATAAATGCGATTAAGGATTGTCTTATGACGCAGCGTGTGCCCGAGAGCTGCGTCTAAGTTAAGAATTATAAAGTCTAGACTTGGACTTTCTAATCACCCAGATCTACACCTACACCTAGAACTAGACTAGAACGTCAGCTGAACGTGTTATATGTATGTAGTTGTATGTATATATAATAAATATGAATGTCATAGTTATGTTCCCGTTAAGGTGCTGTGCATAGCTAAGTTATATTCTTTATGACCATATGCATATCTTCCGCAAAGATTTCATGGCATATCCTTTGCAATATCAAATGAGAAACAACTGTGAACAAATGCAGTAGCCACATATTAGTTGAAAGACGTCGCAACGACAAGTTAGCAATAACTTTTGCGAGATACTGAGTCATATCAATACCGTTAATCAGCAAAAACCGAATATACTAAAATGCGAACCTGTCAATAAATCGATAAGTTATCGATAACTTTAACAGCAATGTTATCAACTGTTAAATCAATGCAGTGTACTCACATATCGTTAAAAATATATCATTTAACACAAATGCGACTCAGTTTAAAGAAAAGTTATAGTGGAGAAATTATGTGCAGGGCACGTCCATCTTGGCTCTTCAAGTATTCCATTATATTGGTAATACCTGTGGAAAGGTGATGTTGCCCATCCTTACTTGCGACTAAAATGCGTAATTTAAGCCATGTTTACAATATTTCCAAAATTCAAAGCAAAATTATGTCCTTTCATAAACTGAAAATTCTTAAAATTTTCCTTAAAGAGTATAAAAACTAAAAATGAAAATTAAATAAAAATAATAAATAAAGTTAAGGCAACTTCAAAAAGACTCTGAAACTTAGTAGAAAAATTTAATTTGTAGCAAAAATGTTCCCAAACACAAAAAGAAAATATTATAAAAAATAAAATAGCTGGAAGATACAAGTATATAAGAAAAGTATTACGATTAAGTCAAGTTGTAAATAATAAACTCACTAAACTTGTATAAAGCAAATGTATTTGGTCTACGATTTTTGTTGTATGTATGTATATTTATCTATATAGACGCTGCTAACTGTAAGCGCAGTTAGATTATGTGTGAAAGTACCCGTAATGAGAACGGGAATGTCCTGCATAGTAAAAGTAAATATAGTAAAAATGTAAAATTAATGCAAATTGTTAGAGCGCATTGCGTTTAAGCAGAATTTAATGACAGAGTTTAGTTAAAAATGTGTTAGGCTATAAAAAAATCTATGCATACAAATTGATAAATCAATTAACTAAGTCATCAAAAATTGTGACAAAAAATAAGAATACTAAGAAAATGGTAAAAATAAAATTATTAATTATTGCAAAAAATGTGAAATATTTCGGGTTCTTGGGAAGTGCTTAAAATATATTGGTAAGTACACAGTATATTTCGAGTCTGCTGCCCGCCGCTTCTAACTAAACTAACAATAATTAAGCAGCACAAGTTGACTCTCAGCAAAACCAAAACCTCTCAGCAATCAACAACTTTTTACTTTCCTATACGTTTATAACGTTCAAATAGAATTTTGGGTGCCCCACATGCAGCTGGACCAATTAAAACCGCCACTCAAATACGTGCCCAACTCTGGTGGTTCACACTGGAAACCACAGTTGGCCAACACCCCACTTGATAAGCCGCAGAAGCCATATGGGCGGGGTAGAAAAAACTATTTTAAATTTCATATGGTCTCGCCTCGGCTCATTAGCAAATCAAATTTATACAAGATACGAGTGAGAGATATTTGGGTCAACTCAGCAGCAAGCAGGCTGACGCTCGAATAATCAACCCAAACACCCCATGGCTGACCACATGAAACTTTGGACTGAAGCGGAATTGACAGGAAAAGTGAAACTTGCCTTTGATTTGTGGGCATGCCATGCAAAAATGCCTCTGCAGACAAGTTTTGGGATTCATTTGGGTTTCGGATAATTGGAAACCGCGCTGACAGCTGGCCCCCAGTCAACCAAAACCGAACGCTCAAAGTGTCCATTTTTCTTGTAGGTCACACATATGTATGTATGTGTGCGGGTGTCAGCTCTCAGTCCCTTGTCCAAAAGTCGACTCCAAGGCAAACACGTGGCGCAATCTACTTAACTAACTTTTTTCAAGCCATATAATTATCCAGCTTTGGAGTTTTAATTTGTTTGTCATATTCAATTACTGGATAAATATAGGGTGAAATTTAAGTCTGAAACGCTTAATTGATATTATATTTTAAAAAGGTGGGTTAGATTGTGCAAACTTTTCCAAAATTTTCCGTAAAATTTATAAACCTTTTGCTTGTGCTTGTAAGATATCAATTACATAACTTGGCCACGTATTAATATAAGATACCTGGCCAAGTTATCTAATTTAAATAAAATAATAATAATTAGTTCTCTTGCGAATTGCGTTTACTAACATGAAAATGAAAGAAAATAAGATAGGGTAACAGAGAAAAAGGACTGCTTATAAGTATTATATACATCGTAATAGATTTATATTTATACATAGAGCACGCGGTTGCACTCTGCTCAACAGGGAATTATTCTTTGTCTGCCTTGCTTGAGCCTATTTAGTTATCAAACGAAACGCGGTCTCTAGATTATCTAGATGCATATATCTATTACCCCTCCAAGCTAGCCCGGCACTTCAATTCACTTCCGTTACGATTTTGCTTACTTCCGTTTGCACATTTACGCCAGTTGGCATCGCGAGCGCCTAATAGAAAACTGTTCACACGTGCTGCAAATTACCCAGTTTGAAATCCCATTCTACTACCCCAATACACAGACCAGACGTAGACCCCACCACTCGCCCCCAAACAGAGCCAGCCGCGTATCCCACAGACAGTTCGTGCGGTCAATAAATGTAAATAAAATGGACGCGACCGCCTATCCAAGGGGCACGCCCCATTTGTTGGATGGTATCGGAGCAAAAAGTGGGCAACAACAAGAGAAGCAAAAAAAAAAAGGAAACTGTTATAGAAATTGCATAGTGAAAATTGTAACGAAATTATGCAGGTAATTTATCTTGTTGTTATTGTTGTTCTGTGTGTTTCCATTTTTTTCACGCACATTTATTGATTTTTCCCGTGTGAAAATTAAATTCCCATTTCGAGTTGCCCAGGTCCGAACATAAAGTTTTGTTAGAAGTGATTACCAACTCGTCTCCCCCCTGTCCTATATTCCGCCTCTTCGAGTCGCTTCAAAATTGAATTGAAGCGCGTTGTGTAAATCAGCGGCTCAATAAAATCTAATAGTCCCGGGCAGATTGCGGCTCGGCACGCATCCAAAACTCAATGAGACCACGCAAGAAAAGCGAGAACTTTGGGTACGAGCACATAAATTAACAGGGGACCCAGACGACGACGCTGGTGACGAACATTGGGAAAACAAGGACGTGAACGTCCTTGACAGTGGCAAAAGCTCATAAAAACAGCAGCAGAAATCCAAGAGATCTTTGATTAACCGAAGTATTCATGCTCTAGCTAAGTCAAATTTGCTAAATATGAAAAATAAACTTGATTAACTTACATTTCAGTTTTCCCTTAGATAATAGATATTACTTTGATAGATCATGGTATAGTATGGATACTTTCTAGAGAGTTTCAATCATAAGTTACCAGAAGTTTAGTCTGTGAACAAAAAGAATAATAAATAATTTAACATTAGATTGTCCTTTAGTTTTTTAGTATTCAGTAAAATTTAAATAGTATTAATTTTAATATTATTCATAAAAAGTCATAATAATACGATATTATTATCGCAATAATATAATAAATTCATGCTCTCGATGAATGATCTTTAAAATATTCGCGCTATCTTTTTTGATATCAAAATGTTTTTTAATTTTACTGAAAAAAGGAAAACTAAAGCCAGAATTCTATAGAGTTAAGATTTCTTTAAATGTTATATTAAAAAACGTCTGTAATTTAATAATTTTAGAACCTTAAGGCGTCTTCAAAGACGCGATTACCCTATTGAATATCAATAAGAATATTAAGTAAACTTTATTGAGCCTTGAATGTAAATGAATATTACCTTAAACAGACTTAAAACCAACAGGAAAAATACAAAAATGTTAAATGGTTAACCAGCATACGAGGCCAAAAGAAATAAAGTTCGTTGAACATATAAAATGAACAAAATAAATAAAATACACAGAAAATATAGCTTGAATCTTCATATTGTACTATTCCATAGATAACAACAACTTAGTCGCCAATACTTTCCAAGACAGTTATACAACACATCACAAAACTATTGCCTGACCATATGGAGGACACTAGCTAATTACCGATTACTATTGAAGGAATAAATGCAAGTGATATAAAATAATATTTCCCTAGATGTTTGAATGTTACCAATCCCATATGTCAATCAAAGCTAACTATTATGCATTTTCTCAACTTAAGCATGTCAAACCGCATGACAAATTCAAAATAATCTTTTTTGCAGAGCACAAACCGATAGAAGCCGTTTGGCAAATTAACTAATGACCCCATATTAGGTGCTAGGCATCTTGGCGGACCCAAACGTCGGCGAGGGTAACTTCTATAAAATGGGCGGGATGGGGGCTGACGGGGTAGGAAATGTTGCTGCCGCGTTTGTTTAATTGTCGTGCGACCCGCTTTTTGCTCGTTTTAATGAGTCAATTTAAATTCCGATTTCGATTGTGGGACACACAGAGAGCACACAGCTTGCAGCTGCCAGACTGCGGCCAAATCGATGTTCATTAGCAGAAGGCGCTGCCACGCCCACACGCTATAGTGACGCCCGCGAAAAACGAATCAGCTTTTTTTTTTTGCCAGTCGCTTTGTCAACGCAATTAGCTGAAGTTTCAAAGTTAATATTGGTTTTTGTTTTTAGCATTGACATGATACAAAAGTCGAGAATTTAATAGAAATTTATTTAAAATATACTATATGTATAAATAATTATACGTTTTTTTTTAATTATTATTATAATTTATATGTAATTAAAAGCTGACCACACTTTTTGTTAGCTAAATTAATGAACGAAACATTTGCTATTTCATGCGCTATACCCTATTAAATTGGCGAAGGGACTATTATGAACTTTTAAATGTCTTTGATAATGTCAAATATTGGGTTTCTAATATTAGTTTTTAATGTAGTCTTGATTATTGGAATACGCGTGCATAACTTTTATTATCTTATTATTTTAATGTAAAGCA